GAAGAACCTCCGAGCCTGTGCTGTCCTGTTGTTTCTAACCCTGTACAATATTAGCTGGATATAATCCGGCCAGCTTTCTTTAGTATGCAGCATGCTGTTTTCTTGCTCTCAGCCTTCCTCCCTCGCTCTACGTCTTCTCTCCGAGTGGTACTTTTTGGAGGGATTTATCACAGCATTTGGCTGTCCTGGCTTCTCTGTATTGATTGAAATGCTTGATAATGTTCTGCATCTGCCCACATCCCAACCACTGATTTCAGAGGATGTGTTTTCCAGCTGTTATCAATAGAAAAAAAAAACACCTATTTCACTGACTGGGGCGTGGTCTGAAGTGCACCATGTTCAAATGTTTCGACCATTTCCATAGAAACTGAAATTGATTTCTTTGTATGCAGCCAGCACAGTTCACCAGGCCCCTGAGTTATTCATCCACTGTACTCTCAATTTCATGCCCCGACATCTACAGTACATTGTTCGTCTGCAGCCACAGTAACAGCATGCCAGCTAGCCAAATAATTACACTGTCTCCCACCGCACTGGAGCTGACAGGACTGCTCGAACACTTTTCGTGCCCTTTCACCCCAGTAGTCAGACTCTTGTTTTACACAGTCTCCACGATGAGAAGGTATTCTGTTGCCAGAGCTATTGTGTGCTGTGCCAGAGAAGGAAGATGGTCATTTTTGTACAGGTTTTAGTTCGTTTGCAAATGCTGCTTTACATTAACTCCTTGACTCCCTCAATCTTGCCATTGATTCTGACAATTATGTCAATATGCCGTTCCCGAAGACTGATGTATTTTCTACGTTTTAAAACACCATAGCAACGGAATCTGCCTCGCGCAATCACTCCTGCTTCACTTAACCAATTAAAGTGCAGTGGCTTATCACAAATGGCTCATTTGTATGCATACAATCCGCTAATGTGTGTTTGCATTGAATCGATCATGATAACCAGAGAGGGGAGAGAGAAACGGATGGGTGGGAAAAATGATGCATTGAGAGGGAAAGTGGGTAAAACTATAGCGACGCTATGAGAAAGAAAAGGAGAGAGAAATAGCTAGGGAGTGTGGGAGAGAGTGACAAGGAACATCACCCATCATATAATGTGAAGTGTATCATGCTTTAACCGGCAGCAGACACGATCATTACACCCTGATTATGGCGTCTATTCTCGTCGACTGTGACTCATTGTATGATACAGGACTTCAAGCCATGGGAATCATTAGTTGAGGAGGATGTTTCCTGGGTTCCTGGATTAATTCTGACCATTTGATTAACTTAAGTAACCAACCATCCATGTGTAGTTTATGAAAAGTTATTTTCATGCAGAGTTTCTGGGAACAGAAGAGATAATGGAACCAAACCAACCAATCATGGTGATGTATTTGGGTTAGTAGGGGTTCATTAGAGAAACTTAAAATCAGGAATTAAGTTTTAATTAAAATACATAACTAACATCATGATTAATATGCACAATTAGATTGCTAATACCCAAGTCCACACTTCAGTTATTGCTCTTTTTTTTTTTTTTTTTTTTTATGTTTGATGTATTGCTTATATTGTTGCCACTCATTCCTCTTTTGTGTATTCTTCTCTCTTATCTCTGTCATCTTTTCCTCTCTGTCCTCTCTCTCTCTCTCTCTGTTTTTAACCATGCGCGGATTTGAAAGACTTCATTTCTACAAGACTGTGCGTCTGCCTCAGACTCTCAGACTCCACAGATCAATAGTGAAAGTGGATTCGCATCAAATGACCCTGAAAAAATGGAGTCAACAGAGCTCAGCTGTTGAATGTATTCTTGTTGGTCCAGTGTTGTCCTGTTGACTCAAACCTTAGATGTCAATATATCTAAGGTTTGCAGAGCGGCATGAGAGAGCTGTGCATACATCAAATTCTGATTCAGTAGCTGCAAACCAGCATGTTGAAAAACCAGTCAATTTAGTATAACTTTACCACAAAACTATTGATCATTGCATTCTAATTATTTTCAGTTTATTCAATTGCATTTATCATTCTGTAGCCTTAGCCTCAAAACTCCAACCATGTCCATTCCTCAGATGTTTTCTCCAGACGTCTCTGCATGACCCTCATGAATTAAAGAGCATGTTCTGACTCTCGGACTAGTTTGCCACCCTGCACCCTGACTTACAATATTCCCACTGACATTTGGATAATAGCTAGACTGAGATCTAATTCCTAATATCACCCGCACATTGCCTGAGCAAAACAATAGGTTTGCTCCAGTTATAAATTGGAATTTGAAAAAAAACGTCATAGGCTATTAAGTATCAGTTGCATGGTTTGGGGGTGGGGGTGTTGGGGTTACCAACAAAAATTTAATTTGCACCATTTTGAAATTGAGTCATTGAGTTTATGCTTGCATCTACAGTATCTCTGTTTATTTTCATTTTGTTAATCTTCTGTTAAGTTTAGCACCTGCAGTTGGATTTAGATTTTTAGGCAATTACAAAGAAAACATTTCTTTAAAATATCGACATCTGCTGCAGCATTTCTCATCAGTGTATTCTTTCAAGTTTGTATGTATATGTGTATACTATAACACAATAGCATCTGGGCGTCTCTCAGAATGTATCAACACTTCCCTAATTAAATAGATTTTGCTTGCTTAATTTCCTGCTTCTTTGTGTTTGTGAAAATTCAAAAATCAAATTAAATACAGTCAGTGGGTCTCATGCTTATCAGATCACACGCTAACACTGTCCTGAATGAAGAAAAGCATTGCTGACTTGTAGTTTTATATTTTATGACACTCTTGGGTGCTAGAAATTAAATACAGGAAACTGAAGGGGATGACTTGTCAGAGAGCATTAACTTTTTAACAACTTGACGTGATATGTGGCATCCCTCAACTGAATAGGAATAAAATCTATAGCAGACCAGAGCAGCTCTAAAAGCAGAGTGGATAGCAGCCTTACAATCTTCAGGTATCCACAAAGGCATCTCTAAATGAATGCTAAGGTTGCTGTGCGTCTACTGGTGGTGTAAAAAGGCAACTGTTTGTTCACACCTTCACTGTTACAACATAATAAGCTGACAAATGGTCAATGTTTAGTTTCCAGCTTGTTCCACTTACCTCATGTGGCCGAAAACATTTAGTAATGCTGCTTTTAAGAAAAGGAGCTTTATGCATTTGTCTGCTAAAATGAGCTTTTGTCAGTCCTCAAAATGAAATTTAAAGGTTGTCTCTTTTCCCTTTTGTGACGAGCGCTTTTGTCCTATGAAAGCCGTCTCTCAGGCATTTACTTACAGCTCCGCTAGGATTCATATCTGCCGATGGTGTGTTTTGCTATGTGGCAGCCACATTATGCTTTTTAATGAAATTAAATGAGGAAGCTACATCAGCGGCCTTTCAGTAGAACAATGTAATTGTCCATTACGGTGACATCCCACATCTCTGTGTATTGTTTAAGCATTGTGCAGTGCAGATACCGAACACGTGCTGAATGTGGATCCTCATTTGCTCTTAGACCCATGTAACAGAAGTGGGATTAGAGAGGCTTTATTTCTGCAATAAACTTCTGAGGGGCTGTAACGTAACTGTTGAATTAAAGTCAAGTTTGAGTCAGAGTGAAGATGTTTGTTGTGTGTGCTGTTTTTCATGATGTAAGAGTGATTTCAGAGGTAGAGGTTAGGGTGTCATCATAGCAACATGGTAATATGTTAAAGCAGCTGACCATGCTGTAAAAAAAAAAAAACACACACACCAACAGATTTTTACCTTCTAGCGGGATTGAAAAAGATTTATTGCTGCAATACTAAGGTCACCAATTTTGCTGGCGTAGTTATTGATAGTTGGAAGTAGCAGCATCATACCCTCAGAGTGTTTCTCTCACCGATGGTCTGATCCTAATGAACCAGGCTAACGAGCCAGATGCTTGTGGTGCTGCTCTACACAAAGGTCCTATGCAGTTGTATGGAAGGAATCTTTCATAGGATTTAACTGACGGTATAAAGAGGAAACATGAGCACACACTTAATCTAATTTCATTTCAGTTGGTGGTGCATCGGCTGGGATACTGCTTGGAGGGGATAATTGATTTTAATGAAGGATCCAAGGACCCGCTCATAATTAGAGACATCATATTGTTTGTAGGATAAACCCTTTGAGATACATCAAAGTATTTTCGGCAGTGTCCCGAGAAAGCATTACATTATACAAACTATTCTATACTATATCTGGTGCATGAACAAAAAGACAAAAAAAAGGGGGAAAAAAAAGACAGGACTTTTTGAATGCTAACACGGGGAAAAGTTATCTATAGTTTATAGAATATAGTCTATGAAAGTATCTGTAGGTTTTATTATCAGCCAGGACTTTCAGGCCCATGGGTACTGCTTTATTTTGCTTCAGTGTATGGGCTGATGAAGGATGCAGTGTAAAGCATCTGCAATTCATCTTCAATGTGTAAAATGAAGCCTCCAGAGCATTTTGTCTGTTTCTGTTTTGGCTGGCAGTGTGTGTATGTGTGCCTCTGCTCGTCTCTCTGTCTTTGTCTGCCTGCCCGCCATCTCCCTGTGTGTATGTGTGTGTGTGTGTGTGTGTGTGTGTGTGTGTGTGTTTGCTTGTAATCTATTGCTACATCACTCTTGAGCAAGTGGCAGCCTCGATATTAGAAAGTTACCATCAAACCAAACTGTTATTGGGTACATTCATCATTCAAAGTGCAAGACGGTGCTTAATATTTGCAGCCTTAATCTGGAATTTAATGTTACCGCCTATTGACACGACACAAATTGCATTTTTGGTATGGCAACACTAATCTTTTGTCTGTCTTTTTAAGCTGTTCAAGAAGCTTGTTAGAATAAACATTCCCCTACAGCTGAGGAAGTTTGGCCATTAAAATTGCACAGGCAGGCATCCATTTTCTTTCTTTCACTTGTTCCACAGGGAGTTTGATGTCCAGTAGAGGGCAGCACAGACAACTGAGAGCTTCTGAGTGTACAAATGGCAACCTAAATCTCTTCTCATCTCTTTTCTTCCAGGGCCAAAGTGTTCCGGGGAAAGAAGGTCCTCGGGGACTACGACATCAAAGTGGAGCAGGTATAATATTGATTTTATAGATCTATGATGCTGCAGAATCATTTATAAAAGGTTGGGAGTGATCATAATAGAGATGAAAGTGGACTGACTCCATATTCACATGTTTGATATGGAAATGCATATATTTTCACTGACAATGTGAGACACATTTTCAACAAAGAAAAAAAACTCTTTCAGATAAGCTCCACTTGTCTTTTGCTTTATACAACAGGTCACAGGTAACTTACAAGAACTAAAAAGATATAGTGTTGTTGCCTGTGTGGCTTATTGCGAATGTTCTCCAAGGCCAAAATCTATTCAAATACCTACAGGTACATGTGTGTATCCATGCCAGTGGTGTGGCTCTGGGGATCTTTCAGTTGGTTGGTTGGTCCAGCACTTTGGTCCAAACTCTTAAGCCTTTGGTGATCCTCTGAACTTCCCTCTTAGTATCACGGTGAGATCATCTTTTTCAAGTCATCGTGGAACTGGCTTGACATCTATAGCTACAGTTGGTAGCTACAGACATTCATGGTTCTCAGATGATAAATCCTGTCAGCCTCAGCTGCCCTTTGTGTTTAGTGCTAATTAGCAAATGTTTGCATACTAACACAATAAACTAAAAGATGAACTGGTGAATATTCTCTGCTAAGCTAGCATTCCAACATGCACTAGCATGTTGATGTTAGCATTTAGCTAAAAGCATCTGAGAGCTGCTAGCATTGTTTCATACAGGGAGATGAAAATGTTGTACACATCCGTAACCGGTGTCGCAGTGGTTTGGAACCTTGTCGGCCTCAGAGAGACCGCCATGTCATTTATTCTGTGCTGCGTATGTTTACCTGTGTATAAATAACCACATGTTCAAAAACCAGCAGTTCTTCACATGTAAAATAAACCACAAGCATAGTAATATCAAAGTGTGGTTACTGTATGTAGTTAAGTTATACTTTTTAGACATTTTGGTTTCGTATTGGTTGAACCATTTTGCATTACTGGGGTACTGCATTTGAAATGACTATTCTCGGGCGTTTCACACAGAACAGTTTCACACCTAATAGATGTTGACAGTTACATTACAACCTCAAACCTTACCACAGAAACGAAAATAGATGCCAGAACAGGAGCCGGCAGCTATGAGTCATAGAGAAATCCTCCTACTTTTGTAACCACACCAAAGACCAGCACATACAATATGCATTTATACTAGAATAACTATATGGTTTATGTATACAATACAAAACAAATGTGCAAATGTGTACACAGCACTAAAGTCTTCTCATCTCTTTTTACTACTTCTGCAAAGGAGGTTTGTTAGAGGAGGGAATGATTCAGTATTTATTTAGTTTGTTTTGCTCCCAGTAGAAGTCATTAATTCAAATGAAAAAAGAATGATGTGTCTGGTATGACTGTAATTATGGAATAGAGTTGACATATTACACATCTTTTCTTGCACAATAACTTTGAGCACTGACAATATAATCGTCTGGTCCTCTGCTTCTTGTATATGAGTTGTTACAGTTGTTTATTTTAGGAACCATTTACTAAACAAACATGTATGATTGTGTAACATTTACCTTTCATAGCATTTCATTAGTGTTTATTTCAAGATTTAATGTTTGTAACTGATGAAAGTGTGCTGTGTCCTCTCTCCGTCCTCCTAGGCCGAGTTCTCAGAGGTCAACCTCGTCTCACATTCAAATGGAACCTGCAATGTGGACATGCAGGTTGTCAGGGGTGGAACCAAAGTGGTCAGGTCAGCACCGCGCACGCACGACACACACACATGCACACATCTGTCTTTTATTTTGGAATAAATTCTAGCCCTCTGACTTTGCTGGTGAGATGAATCCCAAAATACAACCACAAAAATAAAAACCTAACCCTCTAGCTGGATCTCATCCACTGACACTGAACCTACCCCTAAAAACCTGGATCCTTACCAAAGTGTCCCTGCTTTGGAGATTAATTTTACTATTTGTGCAAAAACATTTCATCCTCATAAAAAGGTATGAGCGCAGCCTGCTATTGATGATTTACTAAACCTCAGCTGTGTTACTCTCAGAGCTGACTTACTGTATATTCCCAAAATCCAGCCAAAAATAACTAATCTCATTAATTAATCTACGAGCTGGACCCAGTCTCCTGACCCTAAATATAAAACCTGCACCAGAAATAAATGTCTTACCTTTTGGGCTTAATTTACTATTTTAGATCAATAAATGCACTTGATACTTTTTGACATAACGTGTCGTCATGACATTGGATGAGGTGTATTTCAACTTATTTCAACATATTTGTTACATTATTGTGTATTTTATATATTTTCTTAGGTGTGTGAATGAATTCTAGTGTGGATTTCTATTGCTTCAAATTACCCTTTGAAGGACAAATGAAGTATTTTAAATTGAATGGAAAAAATGTGTCAGAACATTTGTTCCTTTAAAATAGATAGATAGATAGATAGATAGATAGATAGATAGATAGATAGATAGATAGATAGATAGCAATTTTCAAACTATGTTTCTTTACTATGTTAATGCATCAGTCAATGATGATCCATAGACTTTTGTGTGAGATCAGACAGAGAAACTTCAGAATACTCTTCGAAATAACAAATACACTTGTTTACTAAAACTTCTGATCAGTGGAAAAAGGGCAGAGGCGTATGACCACAACCATTACCCACAAACTTGGACAGTAGATCTGCGTACAAACACGTGAACGTACTCTAAACCAGACAATCACACAGACACACTCACACACCACAAACCACACAGACACCGGTGTCCCAGCTAAAGACCGCCAGTGATTAAGCGAGACAGTAACTCCCACTGTTCACCGGGAAACAAAACCAACAGGAAATGAAGACGGCAGCGTCAGTCTGATGATCAGCATCTCTGCCCTGCAATTACACTTTATGACGGGCTGGTCCCCGCATGCTCGCACACAAACATACTCTCAACAGTGACCACCGCCTGACTTAATGTGGAGTCAGGGAAACTTTGATTCATGGGAGTAGACAGAGAGATTCACATTCACCTGTCCTGACAACGTCATGTCCACAGACACATTATTCTTTTACAACATGTGTCATCTGAGCTCCTCTCAAGTTGTATCATGATGTAAGTCTCACCCAAATATTGACTCGCTGTAGAGAAAAGTAACAAGCTTATACAACTAAATTATCAGAGTGTCTTGTTATCTGCCTGTATGAGTTCAATACACACTTTTTAGACTTGGAAATTGTTTTAATTATCTACTTTTGTCTCTGTAATTGGGCTGTGTTCATCGACTTCAAGTCAGAGCGGTGTTTCTGTGTAAGTGAGAAACCCTCACCCCGATAGAAGACATAATGTATTCTAAACTCTGAGTGTGTCGCTACACAATCTACAGCTCCTCTTATAATACTGTATGACCCATGGGAAATATTTACAGTGTAAAACATATGGAAATACATTTTTAACTGTTCCTTTAGCCAAAGTTTTGTTACAGTGGGAGCCTGAGCAGTTAGAGGATTTGGTGTTAAAGGAGAGGAAGAGGCTGCGAACCATCAAATATTATAATATTTCATCTACAACATCAGCACACAGCAGGGATAACGTCATTTAAAAACGTACATTTTGAGTTGTGTGACTGCAAACGGACTCACACCGATTTTGGCTCGACATTGCTTGTGGAACATTTGCTAATCTCCTTGATGCATCCATGCATGGTTAACCTCCATATGCTCAGCCACTCTCATGTAAATGCAGGTCACATGTCACATAAAGAAAGGTTACATTTGACAGAAGGAGTTCAGGAGAATTTAAAAATCCTGTTTAAAATACTGTTGACAGAGAACTTCTTTTTCCTCTCTGCCCCTTTGAACTTGTTGTTTTTCTCCTTTTCTCGAAGGATAAGGACACCATTATTATTTTGTTTTCAATAAATCATGTGAAAAGACAGAAACTAATAATGTGTTAGTCTGTCTCTCAATACTTTCCATCTTTCGTCCCTGTGGCTGTCAGCCTCAAGCCTGAAAACATAAATCTGTAAATACTAGTTACAAATACATCATTATTATTACTATCATTATTATTATTTTCTATTTCATCTTTTTATTAAAAGGCTCAGTTATTTCCTTTAACAGCAGGGCACTGTAGTTTTTAAGAAACGTGACTCAAAAAAGAGCAAATGGTGGACTATTTTTAACTGCGGATTAATACGCTTTGGTTGCTCTAGTGAGCATTTACTGCAGTAGGGCGGTGTATGTGAGATCAACTCAAAATAAACTACAGTGCTCATGTACGTCATAATGAAGTAACGTCACTCATCGCAACAGTGCAGCTCATTCATTTGAATAACAATGGACAAGTCGAAATGGTTGTGTTGTTGACCTTGCTGTCTTTCTTACTTCCTTTTTGAATTTTAATTCACCAGAAAAATGAAAAAAAAACAAACATAAATAGATAAACGAATGAAAAGCCCAGCTCTCTTCATGAGCTGTATCTTTATTCTTGCTGTAAGTGTTTTGTAATTGGTGCAGCGCATAGTGAAAACAGTGAAAAATACAAAGTGAAAGCTGGTTACGGTGACATTGTCGGCAACACTGAATCCAGGTATTAAACTGAGAGTAGAGTCAAGACCATGTTGATCTTTGCTGCCTACTGTCAGTAATGAAGAGATTACAGTCACATAAATTGCTGTGTCCTCCCCACCAGAGTCTTTTTTTAGTTTCTTGGAGTGCCTGATTAGTATTCTCCGTGCACGAAGAGCTGGTGGTGGTCACGCTGTGCCAGAGTTTTCTCTTTCTGTCTGTCTCTTCTCTCTCACTGCGCTCTACATCTCTTTTACTCTGCATTTTCTGTCTCTGTCTGTTCACCCACCCTGGCCTTTGTTCACTTTCCCTCTCTCTCCAACACGTATTCAGAGACAAAAGGGAAAAAATAACAGGAGTCATGCCCTATCACCATCAACCTTTCACTGAGCTGAACTGCACCAAAGCACCAGACCTGTGGTTTTTGGTGTTTTGCTATGGAGACACATAAATTTAACTTTTTTTCTTTTTCACAAAATTGTAATAGAGCGGATTATCATCTCACATTTAGTAGTTGTTATCTATTCATTTGCACACATTCATCCCCCATTTTTTCTCTCAGTTGTTGAATTCCCTCTGCACTGCAGTCCTCATCACTGCTCAACTCTGCTGCTGTCCTGGGGAGGACTGCAGGCATCCACCTCTGTGACACATGTCACCAGCGGCTTCATTGTTTCATCTGCCAGTGATGAGGTTACCCAGGAGGCCAAAATGTGTGGGTGGATCACATTACCCCCTCCCCGCCCAGCTCCACCAGTAACAGAAAGCTTGGTTTCAGTCTGATATCAAGTCATCCCAGGGGCAGAAGCATCAATATCATTACAGATAAAGATACTTGTTATTATTGAAAGTCGCAAATGTACAAACTGTCCCTCAAATTTAATGGCACAGTACATTGTTTATCCATGCCCTTTAGAATACTGACTACTAAGGTTATGGGAGCTTTGTCATCATGGTGACAATAATAACCATGAGGTTAAGGTTAGCAACCAATTGTGGTCATGCTTTAAAAAAAAAAAAAAAAAAATGCTTACTGTCAATTGGACATGGGAAACAAACAACCATCTCATTTGTTTTGTTGACCCGTGCATCCACCCCGACCTCCTCCCTTCGGAAATGTCTCATTTTGGGGCCTGAGGAGCCCGTCATTCTCCTTCCTGAGAGACACTGTTATTGTGAGTGTGCGTATATGAGAGTGAATTATCACTACAGCCGCCCCATGCTTATCTGCTTTTTCTCTTACTGAGTAATGCATTAAAACATGAAGGGTAATCAATCATTTTGCTTAAGAGCCACTGCTGGGTTTTATTAAAGCCCTCCTAGATCACAAGGTTTCACTCCCTATTTAAAACCATGAGTTTGCACAAAAAACATTGTGTTCAACTGACAACGGCCAAGGCAAAACTCATCTCCTGCTAAACTGAGCGAACTGAACTAAGTGGTTTCAGAGGAGGGAACATGACAACAACAAAATTTGCCCTGCTGTTACACTTTGGTGAAATAGTGACATTCAGGCAGAAAGCAGGTCAGACAAATGGTTTGAAACATGCAGGTTATACATGTTTATTAAATGTCCTTTATGAATGATACTATTTGTGTTATATATTTACCTCTGTCTCAGTGATGTGTGTAAAATTAAATGTTATAAAGTCATATGATTTAAATAGTTGTGTCATTTTAATTACACATAACGAGAAAAGAAATACAACACAAATTACCTACTTCAGGCTTCATTTACCATCAGATTCATATGTTTAGCATTTAAGCAAAGTAAAGTTGTCTCTAATGTGACAGAGCTTTTTAAGAATCCTTCACACATGAGAATCTATTCTAAGGCAAGAGACATGGCCACTGCATTGTCTTTTTTCACATGTACAATTGTAGTCATTTATGTTCCAGCCAAACCTGTGTAACTATTTTCTCACTGCCAGAGCATCCACAGAAAAATACACTACCTTTCATTTGTGGCTTTGTGGGTTTTTAATCTGTAGCATGACCTGTGTTTAATGTTTCACTTTAATCTGCACATCTACAGGCCAGTGACATCTGCCGTCCAAAAATGTCTGTTTTTAACTAACAGAAAATAAAACCGGACAGGGAATGCTGTATGTCAGCCAAACACAGTAAAACGATCTAGAAATATGAATTCATTCTTAATTCAACTTCATTCCATTTCTCACAACAGGTCTTTCAAGCCTGACTTCGTCTTGGTGCGTCAGCATGCTTTCAGCATGGCCCAGAACGAGGACTTCAGGAACCTGATCATCGGTCTGCAGTATGCAGGCGTCCCCTCAGTCAACTCTCTGGACTCCATCTACAACCTCTGCGACAAACCTTGGGCCGTAAGCAATTTCAGCAAAACACATTTACAAGTGCAACAACCTACACAGTGTTTTATTGACTGTAGATGTTTTTAATGGAGTCCGTGGCTGTTGAATTTAGTTTTGATCAAGATCATTTGGAAACTTTGTTGTCATTCTTTACAGAAAGAACACAATGACAGTTGTTATTACTATATGGATAATATGCATATACTTACATATATAGTAGTGTATTACATGTTATAATGCACATTACACTCATTCAGTCCTCATTAATTTGCTGTCGATTCACTCTGCTCTCCTTCTTTCCTCCAGTTTTCTCAGCTGATCAATAATCAGAAGAAGCTGGGTTCAGATAAGTTCCCTCTCATTGATCAGACTTTCTACCCCAACTACAGAGACATGGTAAGAATTATTTTTTTTATTTATTTTTTTTTACACATTGTTTGTTGTCAATAACCCTGCAGCAAACTCACATCTCCAAAAACCAGCTTTTCAACTGATAATGTCTCCACTGATGATTTTGAGATTCAGTCGTTCGGTTATTTGTCTCTGGGCAGTGAAATGTTTTATAAAAGCAGGAGACAATGTTTCAGTGTCTCTAATGCCCTAAGGTAAGTATTATTGTTTTTGTCACAGAGATGTGTTGAGGTTACCAAAAGGTTAGAAAATGAGACAAGTGGGAAAAACAAATTAAGTAAGTAACAGCAGAACCTCAAAATCTTAAATCTTAATTAAATCGTTTCATTTTTTTATGTTTATGTCACCTCTGTGTTCTCACTGGAGTACTGCAAGGCATCTTATTATTTTAACATTTTGGTACCTGAAGAAAAGAGTCGGTGACACTTAGTTCCATTGAGACATTTTATATACAATCTTTTTTGGTACATGGAAATAGAAAACTCTATTTAGACAGAAACAGAGACATAAATACAAACCCAAACAATTCGTTCAGTATAAAACAAACATGAAATAGTTTTATAGCACTTCACTAAAGCCATACAGTTATTATGCATTATGATCATACCAGTTCATGGAAAATGTAATTATTAACACATTTCAAAATGTATCTAGAAAATGACTGCATTGTGCAGGTGAAATGAAACTATTTTATTGTCAAGTGTGACCCTAACATGATCTTGACATATTGGCTATGAGGATAACAAGTGATAATGCATTTTAATCTGTATGACTTCAGTGAAGTAATCTGGTAACAAGACAGGGGTCAATTCAGATTTGGGTCCTTTAAATTAATGTTGAGTCTATATATTAAATAAGGCCTATAAAAATAACACTTTAATCATTAATTATCGCTCATTTATGAAGAGTTATTTCTCTTTTTGTTGGTTAAGGTCATGTGCCAAAATTTTTACTATTTGCTCTTAAACTTGAACCTTGAGGAGAATCCACTTCCTGTTCCTCTTAAGGAGTTAAAATAGAGAATTGAACCTTGTCCTGTTACGTCATTTTCTTTAAGGAACGGGGGGGGGGGGGGGGGCTTGGCTTCTACAGGTGGCAGTGCTGTTGTTAAAGCGCTGGATTAGATTTTTGGCACAGGAAATAGTACAGAGTTCAACCAATTAAACTAAACACACAAAACCACAAGATAAGAACCTCTATATCCTACAAGACAAGATCCGGTTAGCCTTTAAAATGTTAATTCTCACTGAAGTACAATATTTACAGTCTCAGAAATTTGAGAGGTTAAACTGTTATGATTTAGATGGACAAGAATTATCATCATATATAATTCCTGTGTCAGATTTTGTCAAAATATAATTAACTGGGGACTGTCTTGTGCTATATACTTATGTACAGTGCATATTCATTTGCATGGGACTGTTATTCGATATTATATAAAGGTAAAAATTCAACACCAGAATGTGTGGAGAAAAGGTGGCAGTGCTGCAGTCTACCTGTAAAAATGTGTGCACAGAAGATTTGTTTTACAGCATGTAAAGTACACTTTGCAATGCAGGGCTGTGTCTTTTTTTCCTACAATTTTCCCGCTGTTGTTTTGCAGTAATTGTCCAACTTCCTTATTCTTCTTTCAGTAAATGTATAGCCTAAATTACTGCATAACTTATTGTAAGTTATGCATAAACAAATATGAGGTCCTCAATTTTTTCTCTTTTGTGAAGGTTATGCATTTACTGCCAGGCCCTCAGAGAGGATAGAAAGAAGATTCACTCTGGGTTGAATAATCTGCAGTGGATGATCTGCTGCTATTCTTATTCTGTGGAAAACAGCAAGCGAAGTGGAATGTGTGGAGAGCGAGAAAATGAGTCAGAGGAATGCTGAAAGCCCCTGCAGATTATAAAACTTTTCCTAGCATTGCTGTAGCAACCACCTGAACTCTGCAAACAGAAGCTCAGCGGTGAGTTAAGCTCCCTTGAAAATAAAAAATCAGCCAATTTTTCAGTGAAATCAGTTGCTACTTTGCACGCCAAATTTGAGCTACATAAGCCGAAGCAGGACTTTTTTTTTTTTTTGTTCTTGAGGCGTTGCAGGATTCAAATGGAGTGAAATCAATGTCAGGATTACAGGTCAAGGGTCAGTCATGTCCAGGAAGTCTTTCTCGGGCGGAGGTCCACCCCGGTACCAGCTACAGGTTGTGTCAGAGCGGCGGATGCAGGCGTACTGCCGAGCCTGCTCTCCATTTAGGCTGTTATCCAGCAGCCAGTCAGTCCACAAGCACTCGTTTTCTCCTGTAGACGCACACGGCACTGTGTAACACGTGTTGATCTGAGGAGAGAAGATTTGATTTATTCTTTTACTCATTCGCTCATGTCATTATTTGTTCCCAAAGTTGGTCTCCCCTGGGCCATGAATAAGAGCTTTGCTCGGGCAAAAGTTAGAAGAGACTAGATCTGGGTCTCTGTAGAGACTTTATGCTATGAGCTATGAATTTTGATTGTAAAAAACAGTCATAAGACACATGAAAATCTTTTGTACCAAAATGGAAAGAAAGTCTGAGACAGAGTAAGAGATAAGAAGACCTCTTTGCTTTAACAGCTCAGTTGTTTTGTTTCTCGAGCCGAAGCTCATGTAGGCAACTCTAAGACAGACTGACAGATGAGTGGTACGAAGATAAATATGTATGAAGAGAGTAGGAACAGTCCTTACTCACTCTGCATTCACAGCCCATCTGGTATCTGTAGTTGAGATTCTTCTTTTGTGACAGTGATAAGTTGTCCCAGGACTCGACCAGATCACATTGGCCAATAGAGATCCTCCCATCACTCCACATACTCCCTGTTTGGTGGCATCACAACATCACAAACATTGTAGCGATTATAATTAAGTCTGTTTTAAAAAATGTTATAAAAAAACATTTGAATATGTTGAACTATTCCTTTAAAAGAAAAATCCTGTCATTATCGCCCTGTTATCGCCCGCTGAAAACAACACCAGATATACCAGTTTGACATTACTGTATGCAGCTGTCCTTTTGATGGACTTTCTGCTGCTTTTACCAAATGAAAGTGTGATATAAAACCCAACCACTTCATAACTATACCTGAGAGCAGATAGCCTGCTTTATTGTTAGAGTCCAGTTTGACCCCACACAGAGAGGAGAAGACTGGAGTGTACACGTACTGGATATCCTTGGCCTTGTCAAAACCTTTGAACATCTGAAAACAGAGACATACGTGGAGAAGAGAGTGGAGAGGTTCTAGTTTCAAGAAAAAGGGGAGGTAAGCCTGGCCTGAAATAGACTTAATACAGTATACGTGAGGGAGCAATGTAAGTCAATAATGATAGGACTAAAACGTTTATATGTCCCTAAAATGTAGCATACTTAAAGTGGCTGTAAATAAAAAAATATATAAATTTTTGATACTAAGCAGATACTCTGCTCTGTATTCAATTTCACTGTAACCGCATAGGACAAGGCGGAGACAGACGTTTGCACGCATTTGAACCATATGACCAAGACTTCTTCTAGTGATTGAGTGCTGTCATCCATGGACATTTAGGAGGTCTGAACAGCCAGTTAGAATTTCTTTGCTACTTTCCCTGAAAGATCATACACAGATACGAACATAAACCACACAGCTATACACAGCAGCATAACCATTAAAAATTATGTATGTTTGCACCAGCAGCAGCTTTTATGGCTGTCCTGAGATCTCACCTTGATCATTTTGATTTCGTATTGGATCATCTTCATGTAAGGTGAGGAGCTGTTGCTAGGCGACACAATCTTCTCTCCAGAGATCTTTGCCCTTATCACTGCCAGACCAAAAAAACACACAGAAAGGTAATTGAAATGCCAAATAAATGCAAGGGGCAACACAAGAAGGTGATTTACATGCAATCGATAGATAGATAGATAGATAGATAGATAGATAGATAGATAGATAGATAGATAGATAGATAGATTGATTTGTCTCCACAAATCTCCACAGAGACACTGTAGCAGTCCCTCTCAATAGTGATACAGGATGTGTCCCTCCTCTCCTCTGGGAGTGAAATCAAAACCCACATGGAATAACAAGTAGCTCTCTGCTTGCACACTCCCATTAACTGACTCCACACACACGGACACACACACATTTATGTATACAGTATATACCACACCACACCACACCACATCACACCACACAAACACACACACACGCACACACACACACACACACATACACACTGAAGCCAAACCATGTCTGGTGCTCTGCATTATTTTATCCCATACTGTGAATCAAGTCGAAGAGTAAAGCAGCAGGATAATTGGACTGTGGTTCTCGGCAGGAAGGTAACACTGAAGTCATATAATTTTACAGCCTGTCATTTAGAGAGAAAATACTCATTATAATCAAAGTATTATTAACATTGTAGGTTTTATTCATCCCGACCACAACATGTAGCTCACACTGTGCCAAATCAAACCTTGTTATTATAGATTTCATTTCTACCGATATATTCTTTTTTCCTTCCAGCAAAGCCATGAAACCTGCACTTTTGGACATCTGCATTTCTCATAATGTTAACTGACAAATTAATACCACTGTCAAACATTTCCTTTAAACTAATAACACTGCTGTAGCGTAATACATCAAACATAATTAAGACTACTGCTACAGCTGTCTTTCAGATTGAGTCTCTGTTTTCCCAAAACCTCAAGTCTTACAGTCAGACAGCTGCATTAACAATCTGAAAAGCAGTGGCACATTGGCGAAATATTGCTGCATTACAGCATACATGTCATGTAGGAGGTTTTCACTAAGAAAATGATTCAAATTTTAATAAGTGAAGTTTTTATACTGCCAATCATGGACTGGATATATATACATATATATAAACGTATATATATAGATGCATATAAATGCAATCTACTAGAATATCTTGATTAGCGAGCAATTCAATTTGGCTTTTCCAGTAAATTGCCTGTAAGGAATATTCCTTTCAACACTGCTAGATAATTGTCATTCCTCTCCTTCTTTTCACACTGTATCTCTAAAGAGAGAAAAGAGTCGCCTGTAGATTCACCAGAGGAAGATGCAGAAAGACGGAGAGAAAAGAGAAACAGAGAGGCAGAATTGGAGCGACTGACCTTGGTAAAGCCATGAAAGAAAGAGAAAAGCTACAGTATTAATGAGGGGGAGAGAAAGTGTGACCCAGCACCCCTCCTAACCCACTCACCCTGTCACACAGCTAAGCAAACCACCCCCTTGTTTTTGCTTCTCGCTCGTCACATAACTACACCACGGTTTTGTCTGCTGGTAAGAGGAGGAGGAGGAGCTCAGCGTGTTCTGTGAAATTGCTTCAGGAGAAAAAGAGACTTTTTCTTGTCTGTTAAACATGCAATGAAATAGAATGGCAAGGCAGCAAACAAACGTACCGACAGAAAGTTTATGTGAATTTGTGTGTAGTGTTATAGTTTAATCTGAGTGCATTGCATCACCCACAGCAACATGGCTAGTCTAGGGACAAAAATGTCGGAGAGGACAGTCCTAGATGCCTGCTTAATATAACTTTGATTCCACTCCATTCTTTCACTGCATAATCCAAAGCCTCGGGCTCAAATAGAGCATGGCAATAGGTCTGATAACATTAGGCCTTCAGATTAATACAGTAGATTAATACAGTGCTGTTGGGGTGATCCAAGTGAAGTAGAAACCATCTTGTGTCTATCAATAGAATATAGAAAGAAAATACAATAGGGAAACTGCCTGCTGGCTTATAATGTGAGAAACTAGAAAGGGTAAATAGAAAATGCAGTAAGCACATAGATGCTACATAAAACATTACAGTACACTTAACAAAGTCTGGCCTCATAAGGACACACCTGCCTGTAAAGTCACCTACACACATAAAGACTTGAAAAATGCATGCAAAGAATAAGAGCTTAGTCTGATTAATTTGTTGCGGATACTTAAATTAAAATTGGATAAATTAAAAAAGGGTAAATTTGAGTAAATCTTCATCAAGCTGGAGACATAAAGTACTGTACTTAAGTACTATTTTGAGGTGTTTGTAATTTGCTCCACCTCATTCACTTGACAGCCACAGTTTTAGATAACTTTGCAGAGTTATTACATGCTGAACATATACGCTAAACATCATAAAATATGTTGTTGTACTTGTGTAATGTGCTCTAGTAGCACAGAGGTTTGATGTAACTCCAGCTTCAACATTGCTGCTTAAAAGCCAATGTATTAATAATCTAATCTAACATAGTGAGTATATGATAAGCACTTTTAATTTCAGACCTGAAGATACTTTTGCTGCTTGTACGTTTGTATGTTTTTTTAAAGGAATAGTGCTTGTCAAGAGTTTGATGAGAAGATTGATACCTCTCTCATATCCGTTGGTAAGCATATCACAACAACCAGTGAACTGGTTAAAAACTGCATAAAAACTGAATTTAGAGGTTTACAGTCAGCTTTACAGCTGCTGGTAGGTGATTGTTTTTACCTTTGGATACAGCCAAGCTAGCTGTTTGTCTGTCATTCCTGGCTAACCTAAACTAACATGGACTAGTTTTGTGTTTACCTCACAGACATGAGAGTGGTAATGATCTTCTCATCAAATTCTGAACAAAATGGGAAAATTTGTATTTTCCACATCCCTCTTGCTTTAGGTAATATTTTGCATCCAGGAGTATTTTCACACTGCAGCATTTTCAAATCTTAATAGTCTTTCCACTCCCTGCTGGTAAATAGTATTTTAAAGGGTGATGCCATATTTACTATAAGTACAATTACATCACTACACCCACCCCCTCAGCTAATATTATATCACCTGCCAGTCACGCTCAATACATAGAAATACTACACTGTACCAACAATCTTATTATTATAACAGTGCTATGTGTAAGGATCAAATAGTTGGCAGTCTGAGCATTGGCCATACATCAGTGCAACATGGAAGAGGACAGAAGTTGGTATAGCCAGTTAGCCAAGAACAGTACTGTCATTTTTTTTTTTCATTTTACCATTACAGCAGATCAGTGGTTTTAATCATTTATAAGACGATGTCTGCTCATGCCAGATAAAACTGAAAAAATCTGTGTTGGATCATGTTCCACACATAATAGATTTGTAGTGCATTTGATGACATTTATTGTAGAGGTTACAGGTAATAACTGAACTGCAAAACTCAAGTTTGTTGTCTGTTGATTCTCTTGGCCCAGATTCTCTGAAATGTTTGCCCCCCACCTAGACATCTTTTGAACTGCGCAGGCTAGGTTACCCACTCCATTCAGTTGCTGCAGCTGTGTAACAAACAGGAATAAGGACAGGCATGCCTGGAGAGTGAAAGTGGCTGTGCATCTGCCTCACAGCTACATAACCAAAGAAATATTGCAAACTTGTACCATGAGAACTGATGTAGTAAGTAACTTCCCCCCTCCCAGATGAATCGGCACCCTTGTCATGCTCACAAAGCTGGACTGTCAGCGGGCTTTCACACTGATATTGTTAGTATGCAGCCCATTAGACCAAGCCTATAGACATGGAAATGAAGTAGGGAGAGCGAGGGAAAGAAAGAGAGAGAGATGGATTAGGCTGTGTTGGCATGGCTTGGCCTCTGTCCAACACACGCACAGACTCTCACACACTCACACATACACACTCACACATACACACACACACACAATGTCAAATACACAAACATGGCCAAGGAATCGTCCAAGGTTTGTCCAGATGGGATATTACTCAGATGTACAGCTTTATTCAAAGGGCTCATCGACTCTGACAACACTGTCAGGTCAACTGAAGGCCACCACCAGTCTATCCTTAGAAAACAACAAGGACAGTGTAACCACAGATGCCACCAAATGAAAAGTTTTCTTAGATGCACTTATTGTAAGTGAGGGATTTTCCTTAGTTCTTATTCATGGGTCTAGAAAGTTGCATCCTACCTGAAAGGGGACCACTGACTTTTGTGTCCAAATCAGGACTCAGACATTTAAAACCAGGCACCCAAGCAGACCCTGAGGAAGTGGGACCTAATTACAAAAGAACCTGTGGTCAATTGACCGTGTTCCAAGCCCCGCCCCCTTAGTTACTCTTGCTACGCCTGTCAAACTTTCTGCCCTTGCACAAGACATATGCAATTTCTAATATAATATATAATATTATTATGTATGATAATAATGATAATAATAATAATAATAATAATAATAATAATAATTGTGCCAGATTTACCACAATTGTTAACAGCTTTTGAAACACTGAGGTAAACAAAATCTGGCTTCTCAGCTCTAGCCAACAACTACATTTTGCCGCCTGAAATGACAACTGTTGTTATCTTACTGTAGCTAGCTAACTAATTAGCATCAGTTCCATGAGCTGGTTGAAATCTCTTGCTGTCCGGTTGACTCGTTCTGAAAAGAGAGTCATGTAAACGTGTCTTAGGTAGCCACTTGGTGCTTAGGCCTACATACAGATGATATTGTGTTGAAAGACTGAAGCAAAGACTACAGTCAAACTAGCTAGCTGTAGGATTAGACTCCATGTAGCAGCCTACAGTGCGACAAGGGAAACTTTAAGATAGTTATTTTGTTGTCACTTTTGTTTGAATGCTTACTTGGACAAGCAACATGGAGGTTTTGAGATTTATGCTTTATTGTTCATATTTTCAAACTGTATGTTTCTCTTTTAACATAACAAGAGGAATGTTTTGAGGATGAGGACTTTGTATGTAAATAAAGCTATCTCAGACCATGCTAGTGCTGGAAGTGTCTAACTTCCCCAAATCAGGTCAGAGCTGCTAACATTACACTGAACTCTGATAGTGGCATCCAAAATGGACGCCAGTGAAGTGGGTAAATATAAATTAGTGGATGTTCAAATCTCGAAGGGGCTTTTTCTGATTTAACACTATGTTAGCGTTATTACTGTAGCTAGTTAGGCAAACATGTTAACATATGCAGCTTGCATTAATCCAGATAAACATGGTTTAATCCATTCTTTACACATTTGCTCTTCTGTTTCTGGTTTTATAAAGTAAACTTACTGCTTTAACATGTGTCTTTAACAAATCTAAACTTTGACTGCTCTGCTTGGTTGAGGTTGCTAAGCTACGATTGGCTAATTGCTGTTCAGTGGAGGGGTTTACTAAACAGTCAATCAAAACATTTTGTTTGGGTCCAGTGGTTTGGACACAAGTTATGATAAAAATAGTTCAACAAAAATTCACCTATTATTTTGTAATAGGCTTGTTTCAAAGACAGTTTCAGTTTTTGAATGTTGTAGAATAACCTACAGATTGGTTTACTTTTGTGTCATGTTATACAACTGTTTTGGGATGTTTTTGTTTCCAATGAAAACTTACACACACAGACCAAAAGCTATGGTTATAAAATTCAACCCAGCATGATGCCAACAAGACCAGTAAGTCTAGATTGAGAACTGGTTTATGTCTGTTCCAGTCTAACTCATCAGGACTTTGCAGGACCAGGCTTTGTGAAAACCTCAAATTGTTCAGATGGAGAAAGCAGAATAATGATACTTACATCTCACTCATGGATGACACATTTCATATGTAAAACTCTGTCCTAAAAACACTGCCCCAGATAGGCTTACTCATTGTGTTCCCATAACCCAGATCTAATTTGGCGTTATGGGGGTTTTGAAAACAGGTCTCAGCTTCCATTTCATACTGACTATTTTTTGAGACACATTTCCAAAGCACTTTGAAGGAGGCGACCCTCTCTAAACCTGAAGGGAGATACAGACCAATTAGAAAACAAGACTAAAATAAAAGCAATTTCTTCTTCTACTTTCTCTCTTTCTCGCTCTCCTCTGCTGGAGTGTAACCTTTGACAGAAGCACATACTCCAGCTTTCCACAGTCTGGAGCCAAGTACTCAAAGTCAGAGCAGAGTGTTGGTTTTGGCCTGTGCTTAGACAAGAGAGAAGTGGATGATGGGGGGTGTCAGACAGAGAGACAGGCAGATAGCCGGACAGACAGACAGATAGAAAGTAGGCCGGGGCCACTCTGTGCTGACTGTTTTTTTAGTTTGTTTTTATGTGATTAAGAGCAAGAAGACTCAAATATAAAACAAGTAGCACTGTTTTCAAATAAAAAAATATAAAGGCTAAATATAAGAAATAGAAAATATAAGCAAAAGAAAGGCAAGTCTGAGTAACAAGGGTGCATGTATTTCTCTTCTTTTCACTCACTCATTTAAAAGAAAAAGATGATGTTATAACTGATATCAATGAATAATCCCTCCACTAACCACCCACCACACTAATATTTTATATAGCCATCCTATTTTGTTCTTTAACAACTTCAACAACTGATATTTTTGATGAATATAATTGGAAAAAGCCACAATAATAAATCAACCGCCATTAAAAGCTCAGCCATGAAAACCTATTGATTAGTTCTCGGCATAGTAGGTTCAGTCTGTGGATTAGAATTAGTTACCTCTCAGAAAATCTCATTAAATTGATCAATAAGCCAAATCATCAATCAGTTATTCTGGAAGGAGGGCCATTCCTCCCATTTTGAAATCACACCCCCCCTTTCTGGTCATTTCATTCAAAGTCTGAAGAACTTAAAACCAGTTTCCTATTATTATTATTAAATGCAGCAGCTTTTAAATTTTGTGAGTGAACACAAACTAAATTGATCTCCAGTCAATAACTTACCAATCTCAGCGCTGCAGAAAAGCTGCTGTGGGTGTGCTGGGTGGCAGCTACATCCCTCCACAACTTCCTCCATGCCTGCACCAAGCAAAAGGAGCACCCAGAGCCCCAGACACGCACTCCGCTCCTGGGACATGGCCATGACGACTCTGGCTGCCTCTAACTGCTCCAGCACTCGATGAAAGAACGCTCGGCAACCTCTTCTGATCCCGTTAAGTTCCCTGGGAAGCAAATCAGGCTGGCAGTCAGCGAGGGAGGGAGGGGGGCCAGATAAGACAGTAGAGTTGAAGTAGTAAGATGAGCTCTGCTGAGCCGAAAGGCAGCTGTGGATAGAAATGTTTTCATAAGTTTAAAGTACACCTCTGAATTTAAGCTGGAGCAAATAACTTGAAGGGTAGGCTGCTGCTGTCACTGCTCCCTCTCTCGTCTTTCCCTCTCTTCTTTCTCTCTCTCTCTCCCTCTCTGTAGACAACACACTGAGAAACTTACAATAGTTGGATCCCCTCTCACTCTGGTCTTGAATGCTGAGAGGGTCGCACACAGGGAGCCTCTTATGTACTCAACAATTTAGGGACAGCCTCCTCAAACGCAGAAAAAAAAAAAAAAAAACTACCATCCTTTGCCTCTTCTTCTACCCTCTTTTGATGTCCTTGCTCTCCTCCCATAGGCTGCTGTAGGTGTAGTCACTTAGTCATGATTGTTGTGAAAATTATGACGATGTTTTACAGAATCAAATCAGCTGTGGAGCTTCTTTTCAAGTTCAAGATTAGTGTTGTAGTTGTTGTTTTCAGAGACAGGTTGTGTGATCATCAGTGTAACATCTGAGTCATAGATTTGTCTGATTTGTGCTCAGCTGTAGACTAGTAGTATTGCTGTTTCATAACTTCATAACTCATTTTGAATAAAATGAGACATTTTGTAATCTGAATGCATGTCACTACTATTAAAAAGTAAATTACACATTCATTTAATTTATTTATTTTTACATTTTTGAATCAAATGTTCAGGAACAGAGTTGGATAAATCAGTATATCGGTATATATCATCTTATATTTGGTTATTGCAGATCTATTGGCCTGTACATTGGCTGAGATGCTTGAAGTAATTAAGAAACGTGTATGCATTATGTATTATGCATTATGTAACCTGGCAAGGCTCACTGAAATCTGTCAACAACTGCTGGATGAATTGCCATGAAATTTTGCACAGACATTAATGACCACTAGAGGATGAATCCTACTGACGTTGGTGATTCCCTAACTTTTCTTCTAGTACCACCAGCAGGTCATATTCTGTGCAAATGCAATGTATTGGCACAAACTTTGGCACAGACATTCATGTTCCCAAGACAAAGTATTGTAATGACTTTGGAGATCCAGCCTTTTCCTTTAGTTCTGCCAAGTTGACATTTTAGGTTTTTATTGAAAAATAATAACAGCAATTAGAGGGACTGCCATAATACATTCAGACATAAGTCTCCCCTAGAAGATGAATTGTAAAACAGAACAAAAACAAATTTAAGGGATCCTTACATTTATGTTAAAAACTGATTATAAAATGAAATATTACTATCACTGTTTCTTAGTTAATCAAATAGTTATTGGTATAAAATCCTGTATCGAACACACTCTATTCAGTCATATGATTTCAGCAGATATTCCATAGACATCTGTATCAGTTTCCTTTTTTGAACTGCATGTTTCTCTAATAGACTTTTTCTTTGTCAGTATGCCCACTGCAGAAAATTGCTTTCCTCACAAAGTATTTCATTTCACAGTCTTAAAATCATTTTTGATAAAACAACTAACAACAAATAACACAAAAGGCTTTTCTTGCCTAAATACACTGTGAATAGTGAAAATGCAGTCACTCACCAACAGTGGCTACTTCTAAAATGTTTTCACTGCCGGATTTTTCCAGTGTGTTGATATGAATAACCACTGTTGTCATTCTGTAATGTTAATCATTACTCATCACTGAATTATATAATTTCTTTTACAGATTACTACACCAGGCTTCCCAGTAGTGGTGAAGATCGGACATGCCCACTCTGGAATGGGAAAGGTAATATTGATTCCCTTACAGTGATGCTCTTTTCATAGAAAAAAAAAACAAAAACAGAAAAAAAAACACATTTACATGGAAAATTAATGAGTTCATGGAAGGTTAGATCTCCTGAAATTAGCTTACAACATTGAAGCACTTATTGTGATCAAATGACACAGGCATCAAGCTGTTTTTGTCTTGTTTAAACTGAAGACAAATTCACGTAATGGGAGAAAATAGCTGCATGTTGGAGTGGAGCCGACCCATTAGACCGTTGCATCATTTGACAAATTGCCATTTGGAAGTGGTTTGAAATCTCTCTGTGTGCCCAGAGATAGTTGAATGGCTACACTAAGCACCACCACATGTCATTGGTACTGTGTAATGCTTTCTCTGACATGTACCACCACTGAATATCCTCTCTCTATCTTCTTCCTCTGTTTTCTTATTATCTGACTTTCCTTATCCCTTCCTCCTTTCATTACTGCAGCACATCTCTTCATATTCTCCATCAGTTCACCTTTTCTCCTCTCATTGTGCTGTGTAATGCTTTGTGACTGACAACTGTGTTTATATTTTCTGGGTGAAATGAGAGTGAAGTGTTTATTCTCTTTCTACCACTCCTCATCGATCCACCGCACATCACTCCTCTGAACTGCTCAATCTGATATGGTGTTACTGTCCTTCCCCTGTGTGTAGCTGGGCCTCTTATCAGCCTGTACCATTTGCCTTCTTTTTTCCCCCTATCTAATCTGTACCTGTAGTCTCCCACAGAAGTAAAAATCACACTTTTTTTTAAAATCTGTTTTATTACTTTGTTGCTTCTCCCCGAGGGGAATAGTTTGAAGTAATTTATGATAAATACAGAGTGAAAGCACAAGTACAATAGATTCCACTGTGGTTTTTGAGGAAAGTGGACCATGTCACTTCTAGGACAATGACAGTGTCTCCTGCAGAGGCCATAACAATTTCATTTCTGGACTCCACACTGACCCAGATATTGGATTAGGTCTGTATTGATAATATGAGTGTATTTAGACACTATCAACACGAACAATGCAAATTACAAGCAGATTGCTTCAGTCAAGATGAGCAGTCTATGAGTTTGTATCATTTAGATTTGTGAACTCTTTGTGTAGATGAAATAGTCTGACATTTTGGGGAATACTATTTTATAAATATTTTATAAATATAATTTTTTTCTTGCAGACAGTTAGACGAGATTGACACCACTGTCATACGTGAATTTCCCCCAGGGTATAAATAAATTATCTATCTATTTATTTATATCTGTGGAGGAAAGTATGAAGCTAGAGCCAGCAGGAGATTAGCTTAGTTTAGCAAAAAGACTGGAAGCAGGGGGAAACAGCTTGCCTAGCACTGTCCAAATAAAACAAAATGTTTTTCTTTTTCTTTTTCTTTTTCCACTTTGGTTTTTCTACATATCAAACCAACAGGGCAGAATGTGTTTATCGGTGAGCTTTAGAGATGCTGGTAGGAAGATTTTTTTTTACCTTTGGACATAGCCAAGCCAACTATTTACCATGTCCTTATGCTAAGCTAAGTGTTAAGCTAACTGTCTTCTGGCTTCATATTTAACTTACATACAATAGAGTGGCATCTCATTTATCTCTCAGCAAGACAACAAAACACGGAAATAAGATGAAATCCTTTTTCTTTTTTCTTTCGTATTGTTACGGAAAATAATTGCAGTATGTAATTTGTTTTTGTCCAAAGCTAGAATTACATCATTTAATTTAAATTTAAATAAACAGTGTGTCTACATGTACTATTCATATTCCTCTGTAGGTCAAAGTGGACAATGTGAGTGACTTCCAGGACATTGCAAGTGTGGTGGCCATCACTCAGACCTACTGCACTACAGAGCCATTTGTAGACGCCAAGTACGACATCAGGGTCCAGAAAATCGGCACTGACTACAAAGCATACATGTGAGTGTGTTCTTGCTTGTTAGTCGGATTCAGGGAAGACTTTTTTTTTTCTTCATACTGTATATTGTACATGTTCATGTGCACAGAGATCTGCTTTAATAGAGCATAAATTTAACAATCTGAAATGTAAAGCCTGCAGATTAGCATGCCAGTCCGCTTTTATTTGCAGGCTTTTTGTTGTTTGTAAACCTGTATTTGTTGTGTGTAAACCTATGAGCTCGCTGTAAAACAAAGACCATTTGGTAGCTGGCCTATTTTTCAGGATGCTAATCAGCCTTATAACCTGCATCTGCGCTTGTTGCCTGACTACACAGGCTTATAACACTGCTTCAAGGTTGTCTAGTTCTATCTTCCTTTAATTTCTTGTTTTTATAATTTCTGCAAGTGAAGGATGTCTGCATTAATTTAATGCACAATTTCCTGTTCTTCTTCCAGGCGAACATCCATCTCTGGTAATTGGAAGAGCAACACCGGATCTGCCATGTTGGAACAAGTAGCCATGACTGACAAGTGAGCACCGCTTCCACATTAGTGATGCTCAGGCCGCCCTGGTATCACACATATCTCTTGTGTTATGTCACAGTTAGTCACATTGTACTCGCACAGCAGATTTATTCAGCTGAAAGCAGTTCACATGGGTAAACACACAGATGTTTGGAAATGAGTTGATATTCTTAGTGGGTTAACAATGCACTGTGCATTTATTTTTAATGTGTGTATTTGTCTTTCTGCACACAGAAAGACAGCAAATTGAGTTGCTGTGAGTTGGGCTTGTGATGATACAGGTTCTTCCTTAGGAGGCTAAGGATATTTAATGTTTTCGCATTGAACCGCTGTGCTCAAGGCTAAAATCTGGATTAAAGACCCTTTTCAAAGAGTGCGTCTTGGCCTGTCAAAGCAGGAAAAACAGGTGTAATTTCTGACATACACGTGTGACAGAGCCATCGCAATGTTACACACTACACCTCTGCTTCTTCTGCTATAACAAGTCAAAATGTATGAGTATGATTGTGTGTACTGCAGTTGCCGCACCAACATCTGTATGGAGCGCTAAATGGATGCATAAATACTAATTTGAAGTATATGGAACAGCGCCAACATAGTTATTTTCCTTTACAGTGTATGATTTGTCAAACAGTTTTTTAGCTCAATTTGTTAATGCTTGATCTTTCCAAACCAAACACTGCCACCATAAGTCCTGACAGAATGAGGAAGTATCTCCCACTATGCAAAACCAACAAAAATACATTAATATCAGCAAGACTTATTTAATCTGTGACAGCTAGTAACAGAGTACAGTACATTACATATACTTTAAAACTTCCAAATGTGAGCTTAAAAGTTGTCTCCTGAATCTGACACTGTGGAGAAAATTAGGAACTTACAGTTGCATCCTTCAGGTCAATATTGATTTGTCTGTTTGGCCTTAATTAGATTTTATACAGTTTTCCATACACACAGCGAAACGAGATAGCAGCAGCACCTTTATCGACCCAGCCTGGAGCTAGAGAGGTTCTGTAACAGGTTTACTGTCAGGTTAAACACCCTGAGGAGCAACATTTGCACTAGCATACTGTGCTGAGGTGATTAAGTCAATATTATGGACAAAGTTGTGAACAAGAACAAAATGTACTTACAAGCGAAAGAAGATGGTGTAAGGCAAGGTTCTGTTTTCATCACTAGGTCTGTTTCATGCAGCAAAGTGCCATTTTCATGTCTGCAAGAAAATACATCGTAGCTTATGTACATTTTTGTAGTTTTCTATGAGCAGATTATAAATTTTATGAGGCCAGGTCCAGTCAAGATGTCATGTCTGCTTCTCTTTGTGACAGGTATAAGCTGTGGGTTGATACCTGCTCAGAGATCTTTGGAGGCCTGGATATCTGTGCCGTCAAAGCCATCTGTGGCAAGGATGGTAATGACTACATCACTGAGGTGAGAAAAAAACAAAGATGCGAGGGAGGGAGGAAGGGAGGGTGGGTGGGTAGGAAGTTGAAAAGATATTGAAGAAACAGTTGACAAGGCAATAAATCAAACAGTCACAGTATTTGCAGCTTCCATGCTGTATTATCTCTACATTTATTGACTCCTGCCTGTTGTTTGAAATATTTCACTATGTTGACATCAGCCTGTGGGAGTTGTGATTCATAAGAGTACTAATAAGGTCTTTGAGTCTTAAATTTAGCCTGTCTGGCCTAATTTGCACTGCAAGGGCCTGGGAATAAACTGATTGAACCTAACCTGAATACACATTATGAGCTTGATACTTGAAGGGTAAGTATGGATATTCTCTCTATTCTATACTTACCACCTTTCTCAGTATGTGTGTTTGTTTATCCGTCTCGCTCAACAAGCTGCTCTGTCTGGGTCTTTTCAGCTTCCCTGTCTCTGCATTAGTCTTTCACTTTCCAATATTTTTCAGCATATTGGTTTCATGTTTCAAAGTCTTTAGTCTTGATGTCATGACCACAATGGCTGTAAATTACACATTAATGTAAGAATATACTTTGCTGTAATAATATGTTGCCTAAAAATTGAAAACTGTGACATTTAGTGGTTATGTCTCAGTATGAAAAAGGTCTAAATACTCCCAGCCATCGGCACTGAAAACACAAAGAGTGGGCGAGGTGAGTAGGCAAGTAGGAGATTGCATCGACAAAGACTGGCACAGCGTACGACCGCAAGATTGTGAAAATGTCACTGTGCAGTGCGAGAGCATCTACCCACCTTTTCTCAGTTGCAGCAGTAGGCAACAGAGAGCAGGACCGAAAGGCAGACACCATGACACAGCTGGCAGAGTTAAATTATTAGAGTTAAATCCAAAGAAGTGAGTGGACAGGTAATCTCATTGCTCAAGGCTGTAACATAGAGCTGGGCTTCAGTGACAGCAGCCAGGAGGAGTTCCTGGTCAGTGAGGAAGCAAGTTCAATAAAACTTTGGATGATGAATGGGACAAACTGTAACAGACACAGACCGAGTTCATGCGCAGGCTGAGGTTCACGCTCAGATTGAGAGAGAGAGAAAGTCAGGCTCAGATAATTAGCTTAGGCTCAGCCAGAGGTAGGGTCAATATTAGAAACAGAGACAGGCTCAGTGGAGTCGCTGGGCAGTTGAAGAACCACAGTGTTGGGTGGAGGGATGACCAGAGAATGAGCCGTGTGAACCAATGAAAATATACTTGCATCCGGGCACTTTCCTTCAATGCACCAGGGAACAAGACTGTAGAGGTTGAGAGGACATGCAGAGGGATGGTTTGCAGAAGGGCAATCAGAGAGATATCCAAAGGGCACAAGGGCACAGGACTAAAAGGTGAGGAGGCAGGGGAAAGCTAGCCTACAAGTAAGTGAGCAGTAAGCTATTGAAAGGAAGGAAGGCAGGAAGTGGAAGAAAGTGGAGAACTGGGAAACTCAGGATCTGGAGCAGGGGCTAATTTGGCCACAGGATTGAGTGGCCAATATTTCTGCCAGCTCAGGGAGCATCTTGACAAACCAGGGTTTGTAAGACACAAGCTGGAGTGCTATAGAGGGAGCCGCTTTTCACTGCTCTTCGCTCAATGCATTTTGGCAGTAATTACAGAGCCACTTGGTGGTGTAGATCAACTCAGCCCCCTCATCCATGGAAAAAGCTGGGTCGATTTTTGTCAAAATTCTGGTAACTGGCAATGAGTAGCTGGACCAAAATGGAGACAGCAATACTCCACATATGGTTAAAGACAGTTTGCTTCGTTTGAAAGTCAATAAACAAGCCTACACTTGATCAAGGGCCGGCAGTAAAAGCGGGCAAACAAATTCAGTGGTGCCGATGCAAGATGGCGAGTATTCATGAAAGTAGAAGTTCAAAACACACAGATAACTGCTACTGTAACTGTACTGTAGATGAGCTGCCAGTGAAGCAAACAGAGGGAGCAGAAGGAGATGATACAGGAGCCACACTAGCATAAACACCCAGTCACTGCTGTAACCAAGCCGCATTTCTAAACATCCCACGTAGCCTGACTGTCAAGACCAAATATATGATGGAAGGTAGATGAGATTCTCAGTGGGAAAGATTTGAAAAACATGTCTCCCATGAGTCACCTCTTCTGAAAATTGTTTCACTTTTTTAGTAAAACCGTTGAGTGGCAATATATTTACATGGATGTTGATTGCTCCTTAAATTAGAAAACTCTTTCATTGTTGTCCGATGATAAGAGATTTGGGTGCTGGAAGTAAAGATGATTCCCATGTTTTATGCAGAAACAGGCTGTCAGTGTGTATGTGAATGTGAGTGTGCATTGAAGGGCGTACACACACTTGTTTGTTAGTGTATTAGACTGCTCATGTGAGGTGGGATGAAGTAAGAGAAGCATCTAGCAATACAATGCATGACAATTTGACATCAGAAATTACCATATGTTTAAATATATTAAAACATTACCATATGTGTTGTAACAACACTGACAGCATCCAGAAAAATGAAACAGTGGCTTTGCCTAGATAAACTGAAATCTTTTCAAAGTGAAAAGTCCTATAAGCCCTGTTATTAGCTACTACCACACCAGTAGTACTGACCGTGGTGCCGTTTCACCTCTCTTGTTTTTTCTTGACTTTGTTATCCAGTCAGATTCATGAACATCTCAGCCAAGCATGTTTCCAATGAACAAAACACACATTTTCTTATATACTATATTGTCTGTGCCCTCTCTGTCCAGGTTGTGGGTTCATCCATGCAGTTGATTGGTGATCACCAGGCAGAGGACCGCCAGCTCATCTCAGAGGTGGTGATCACTAAGATGAACCAAACAGTGGCTGTCAGGTCATCCAGTGCTTCCCGCTCACCTGCTCGCTCCCCTCAAGGCCACAAGCCAACGACTGTGCAGCCCCAGCAGGTAGAAGCTGTAGGAAGCATGGCCAGTTGTAGTCTGTGTATACATATTGGGCAACTTCAAATAAATATTAACAATAACACATGCTCACACATCATTTCCTGCAGTTCTCCCTGAGAATAAATTCATGCTGGTTCTCTTGGAGGTATTGCTTAGGAAGATTTGAAGCTGTTAATCCCTAAGGGAAAAGAATTTAGTCGTAGCCTTTCACAGTTCACTGCTGATTCCAAAACCCTCTTATTGCCTTTCTTTCCCACTCTCTTCTTTGTTTTTCTTTCTTTCTGTCTTTCCCCCGCCCCCTCACTCTATCCCAGAGTGCTGCCCTTAAGGAAGGACTGGCAGATCCAAACAGGACGTCAGGCCAGCGCCCTCAACCTCAAGGTTGTCTAAACACTGTTCTCCATTGTAATACAAGTGTTGCCGCTGGAGGGCCAAAGCATGTCTAGGAAACACTCTGAATCAGTCGTGGGACAGTTCACTCTCAGACATCTTAAGAGATCTCACTGAAATTATGTATGCAGTGTTTGAAAAATGTAACGTTTTTCTGCACTGTCATTAGAGGGAAAACTCAGTGGGAAAAGTTCACCATTAATTAACTTGAAGAATCTGAGGGATGAATATGTGGTGGTTTTCAGTCTGTTGAGCTATGTAGGATTTTGACTCTGACATTCTGTTAAAAAACATACTGTAAATACAGAGAAACCCCATATCCCAGATTACCATCACAGGTGTTATGAACATGATGCTCTAGCAGGTTTAGCCATACATGGGCAATAGTTTGATATTCTGGGAAAAGTACTTACTCATTTCTTGCCAAGAGTTAGGCGAGGAGACTGACACCACTCTTGTGGCTGTACAGTAAATGTAAAGCTGCAGCCAGCATCTGGTCAGCTTATCTTAACATAAAGGCTAGAAACAGAGGGAAACAGCTAGCCTGGCACACCTGGCACAAGTCTAAAAACAACATGTTTCATGGATATAATAATACAACTGGTTGCCTCGCAACCTCACTTGTATGACAAGTGTGGCACATGACCCTTTCTTAAAACCACAATATGTAATTTTTCTACACTTCAGTTTTTGTACAAACTAAAAAGATGAAGATAAAACATGTTAATATGTGAGCTTTACAGGTGCTGGATAGGCAAATTTTGTCACCTTTGAATGAAGCCAGATTGTTTACCCCTGTTTCCAGTCTTTATGCTAAGCTAAGCTAATCGGCTGCTGATTGTAGCTTCACATTTTCTGTACAGACATGAGAGTGAGTTTGATCCTCTCATTTATCTCCTGGCAAGAAAAAGACCATGTGTATTCCTTGAAGAGGAAGATCAGTTTGTATTTCACGCAACCTGATCTCTGATCCTTGAAGGGAACAATATTCATTATTATTGCCACAAACTGATGCTCTGGTATCATGTGTGGAGTTGAGAGTGAAGATCGCTGCAGTAGTCTGGGTCTACTAGCTTTATCTGTCTTCAACTTGTGACTTGAACTAACCACAATCAACTGTATAGTATAATGCACTTAACCAGCGTGTTGAGTTTAACTGCAGTCATAGCTTCTGTGTTAGCATGGAGATGTTTGTGCTCAGGGCTGATGTGTTAAAACTTAAATGTTCCGACTAAAAGCTCTGGTAAAACTGCGCATAATACGGTAAATTAACAAAGCCATTATTAGTGGAGTCACGCTGTTTGTCAGTGAGTGTGTGTTTGCATGGTCGTTCATTATGGGGTTTCGTTTTGCATGGATGTGTGCGAATGCCAGTACTATGTGTGGTGTTTAATATGTTTGTGCTGGTTGTTCTAGGAATGCCAGCTTTCTATGTTTTACAGGAAATGTTAGAGATTATCATGTGCCTACAGTGTTGACATGTGCAAATCAGATCCGGCCTTTCAAAGATAATCATTTAAAACTGTGAAAAATGGTTGGATAGTGGCAAACGAGCTTATTTATAGATGGATGTTCAGCTTGTTTTTATGCATTCTTAAGTGGAGAGAAATATAACACCTTAAATTTGCTCCTCATAATCATTGTGTAAATTAAGGCTCAGCTCAGCTCAGTTCAGTTTCTGTGGTTAATGCTTGGCTTTTGAATCCTTTTTAAACCCTGTACATTCTTATTGCGCAAATCAGTTCATGGTAAACAAACTGACTTCCTTTCGTCAAGCAACAAAGACCCCTTTGCAAGATCTGAAGGTTTTGTGAATAACTGCTTGGTGTTGTCTTTGGTTGTAAATGAGCTCTCGTTGTTCTGTGTTATAATACCTGAGACAAGACAAAAGTGGCTTTACACGGTACACAATACATTTTATTCCTGGCAATTACAAAACCTGGTCACGTGTTTAATGAAAACTTTCGAAGAAAAGAAACATCTTTTTTTTTCTCTGCACGATCATTTCTTATTTGCTTGGATGCAGACTATTGAATTACTGTTATTTGATGCTCATACATCATTCAGCTACAACTATCATCATATCTTTTAATCTCAGTCTTTCCTGATTCATGAGAGAAGAGATATTGTTTAGTGTAAACACAGGTTAAAGACTTAACCAGTTTTTTGACTTGCATTGCTTAACTGCCTCTTCACATAAAACAGTCATCCAGTGTAATAGCAGTCAACAAATATAATGAACATAGATACAATATATAATAAAGCAGAGACAGGCAAACTAACTCCAAGCAAACTAAAAGAATGTGTAATTCAGGGTTTGCATCCAAGCAAATTGTTACTGTGTCACCCTTCACAAATTATGTTTGTACAAATGGTATTTTCTTTGATTTTTATGCGTCGTGAGTCCCAAGCAACTATTGGGATGCTTAATGAGAAACTGATAAAACGTAAGACTCATGGACATTTAGCTGCCTGACAGAAGTGACTCACTGAGAATGCCTGGGATGAAGTTTTGTAATGGTCATATCACATGATCATGCATGATCATGAATATAATAGTCATTAAAATCTAAATAAACATAAATGAATATACGCTTTCCAAGCTGTCCTCTAAGAAACCTTTTTAAAGAGGCTTTAACATATTATTTACATACTCAACCATAATCCTGCATCCAGGAAAGTGAATTATCAGCCATTGGAAACTCATCCCTGCCTCTTCATTTCCTACTCAGCATGTACAATCACTTGTTTCTTTTGTGCTGCATGAGAGGTTGCTTTGCTGTGCCTGTGTTTGAGTCACTGAGCTGTTTTATGCCAATATCCTCTTTTGGTTGTATCATCTCTCCTTTGGTTGTTTACTTTCATTCATTCTCATCTCCTGCTTTTTCCTCTCCACTCACTGCCTTATTCTTTTTTATCACCACACTACCTCCTAACGGTCACTTGGCATGACTGGCGAGTCGCCGCACCTTCTCCTAACTGTCGATCTGTTGCCCTCTGCTGGTCATTGCAGTCCAAACATTTAGAGCCTGCTTTTCCCTAGTCTGTTCTTGACAGATGCGTTGGTTAGGGTTTTTATGAATGTGAGAGGTCATTCTGTGAATGGGCATGTTTAGACACTAGCTCATTATCTGTATCACGTTCTGCTTTGGTCTTTGGTGAGTGTTACAGACGCCTGGTCTTCTAACTGCTGCACTAAGACAACAGGTGCTAAATTTATAAAATGATGATGCTTATTTATTTTATTTCTTTTTCCTTTGCTTTTTTTTTTTTGCTTTTCTTACCTCTATGTGATCCTTAGGTTTTGAACGATAAACTAACTATGTTATCTCCATCTTTTAGGTGCACCAGTGAAATCACAGAGTGTGGACCCATCATCAGAGTCATCAGCTAAGAAAGCATCTGAACCAGTATCAAAGCCTGGCCAGGCCCAGAAACCTAGTCCAGGTCCAGCTCAGAAACCAGCTCAGACTCATAAGCCAAGCCCAGTTCAGAAAGCTGCCTCAGTCACAAAACCTCCAGTTCCGAGGCCTCCCCCGATGACGAGAGCCCCATCCATCGCAAAGTCAGCCCCGGATTCTGCTGCCGCCCCAGCCCCAGCCAAAGCTTCACCATCATCCCCAGCTAAAGCAGCAGCAGCCGTGGCAGCTCCAGCCTCTCCTCCGACCAAAGCAGTTGCAGCAGCAGCAGCAGCAGCAGCAGCAGGCACAGCTCCAGGCTCCCCTCCAACCTCGGCCGCAGCCCCAGCCCCAGCCTCTCCCGCTCCCTCAGCTTCTGCTCCTACAACAGAGCAGCCCAAGCCCCAGCCTCAGGGCTCCCCATCCCCAGCTCCTGGTAAACCAAAAGAGCTGCCCCCTAAACCCACACCACCTGCAAAGCCCATCCCTCCTATGCGCAGGAATTCAAAACCACAGCTCCAGCCAAAGCCACAAACCCCACCTCTTCCCAAAGCTTCACCCAAACCCCAGCCCACTGCCCCAGCCCCAGCACCTGCTCCGACCTCAGATACTGCCTCAGCCTCAGCCCCTGCCCCTGCCCCTGCCCCTGCCCCTGCCCCTGCCCCAGTGCAGGTTCAGTCCCCAGCCAAAGCCAGCCAGTCCCCGCCTAATGTCCAGTCTCCAGCTAAGGCTCATCCCCAGGCCAAGCCGGCCTCTCCCTCTCCAAACCCTGAGTCTGCCCCAGCTGAAGCAGCTGCGGCCCCTGCTGAGGCCCAGGCCCCTGTGGAAGAACAGCCAGCATCCCAGCAAAAGAGCCATCCTCTGCTGAAGTAAGAGCCATATTATCAACGCACTGTTGATAATGCAAAGACATGCATTTCAATGGGCCATACTTTGTTTAGGATACAAAAACAATCATTCTTCTGCTGTAGAGAGATAATTTAATCCCACATTTTGATGACGTAAATCGATGACATCATCCACAACAATTAAATTATTAATAAAACTTATGTTCTAAGATGTCTTATGTGACAGTCCAGTCCAGCTGAAATTATTTATTTGTAATGTTTCTCAAGGACTGTTATTGTGTATGTGCCCTCTTAGACATCTCCCAGTCTGTCTTTGCTCCTCACTTACCCCCCTCACTAACTCTGTTAATATTCACACACCCCTTTTCCCTTCCTTTATACCTCTTTTATCCCATCATCCCTTCCCCTCCTCACTCCCTTGTTCTCCTCCCTTTCTCTTTCCTGTCCTTCCACTTCCCAGTAAGTCCCAGTCCCTGACCAATGCCTTCAACGCTTTCAGCGACTCTTCTTTCTTCCGCGGTGTTTCAAGCTCCGGAGGCGACGGCCAAGACGAGGCAAAGGCAGAGACCATTCGCAACCTCCGAAAGTCCTTCGCCAGCCTTTTCTCTGACTAGACACAGGACGACCGTAGTCAGCCCGTTACTGATTCTGGCCCCCCTTTTACCTTTGGCCAGTGATGACTTGATTGACATTATATGTGAACCAGTCTGAGATTAAACTTTGTGTGTTAACTGTACTGTATTCCCTCCTTCCCGGTCCCTCTTCTCCTTCACTTTCAGCTCCTCTGTGTGAGTAACAGTGAGGCCTGCTGGGTAGGATGTTCAGCGAATGATGCTGTGTCAGATTAATTGGACTGAAGGAGTTACGTCATTGATGTAGAAGAGAATAGATAGAATAGAATTAAAACATATTTATTTTTCCCAGAGCACACTTTCTGAAATATATGAAAGTATATGAAAAGTATTATATTCAAGACTACATAATTAATGTACATACACTTTAAATACAGAAAATAAAGATTAAGATATAACTATAAAGGGAGATAAGCCAATATTTTAAATAAATCCAGTAGCACTTTTCAATTAGCTTTTATCAGTGACATGACTCTTTCACTCAGTGGCTGGATTTATACACATTTTAAAAGATGATCAGATATTTGACATTTGATGGTCCCCCCCCCCCCTCTACCCCCCACTGTGAATGATTTTTTGTCAGTAAGTGAAAGTACGTGAGTAAAAGAAGAATAAAAAAAACTACATCTTTAAGGATCTGTTCCTGTGTAAGTCCATGAGGTCGTCATTGCTGCCCCTTTTTTGTGTCTACAAGCTACAAGTTCATTGTTGTGTGAGGGAGTTGGAAATATGTGTATGTTCATCTGTGTTCTGTTGATATGCATGGCTCCTCCAAGTGGTTCAGTGTGACTTCAGGAGCAGAAAGACGATCAGTGTTGAGTTTTGCCCTCCGTTGCCTCTCTCGCTCTCTCTCTCTCTCTCTCTCTCTTTCTCTCTCTCTCTCTCACTATCTCTCTCTAGATGTTGTAGCCTTATTGTGAACATGTTTTCAATTCACAGCTACGTTTGTTAGTTGTGCAGACCTGGGTCGATTACAGCTCGAAATCCATTCATTTACCTCAACTGTTTGAGTTGGAGAACCACTGAGGGCAAGACTTTTATAGTTTTGTGAGCTTTGGGATTTGTCCTAATGTACCAGACTGATTAAATCAATCCTAAAAAAGTAAGTGAATGCATTTCAAACAGTAACTCATGTCTGTTGCTGTGACTGGTGATTTCCCGTTTCACCTCTGTGTAGATCTATCAACAGTATTGTAATTTGTTGATTATTCTCATAAAAAGACATTGAGACAGTAGTGCAATAACACCTCGACATGACTGTTGAGCGCTGTCATCCTATTATACATATAAATATGATTATACATACAGGACCTGTGTATCTGTTAAGTACCTTATTCTTACATTCCCTTTAAGATTCCTTTCAGTGGTGACTTTCCAGGTTGCTTCTTACTGCAGCCAGATGCTGGGTTTCAGATTAATATGCCATATTAAAAAGTTGTTTTTTGTGATTAATCCTATTTGTATTATAGGACTGAATTCAAGGCAACCTGGAATCAACCCACCCTGAACCTTAACTGGTCATTTTCAGTTGAGTTGCTGCATTTCAAGTCCAAATGTGTAAAAAAAAAAATTTTAAAAATCTCAACACATACTGCATATCAACCTGTCTGCTTATCCATCATGAGTACTATGTTGCAAGTAAATTATAACATATTGTATTTGTATGTATGTACGTACGTGTCATCTCAGGAGTTTATTTTTTGTAATATATTGACTGATTGATTTATTTTTTTGAGGCTCCATATTTATGGTACAGTATATTCTTTGTTTTGTATTGTGTTTTTATTTGTAACGCAATACTGCTTTGCATGATCTGGTGACTAATGTTTTTTTTTTCTGTACAGATAAAAGTTAATAAAGATGTGGTCCATCATTTCACTGATTCACTAAGTGGGATTCATGCTGATACCTGTGCTTTTGTTTAAAGGGGCAATTACTTTGTCAAGTTTGTGAAAAAAACCCTGATGATGTCAACAGGGTTAGGCTCCAAGACGGCCATGTTTTAGCTGAAAGCATGTTACAAACTGGGACCATGGAAAGGTGTGGGTACTTACACGGCAGGGAGGGTCTAATGAAAAGACATTACTGAGTTGCATTTTGGTAAACGAGCACTTTAAAACAAAACTTTCTCATGTAAACATTTCAATTGGTGAAATAACTGGAGTCCCACTTTAATTATTATAACAAATACAAGCAGCTGCGTCTGATGCTAAAAATTAGCATGTCACGACTATAGTGAGAAAGTTAGAGAAGTTAGAGACCTCTAACAGTAACTACAGGATAATTAACTATCTGACAGCTTTTGAGTAAAGCTGAGGCTTATGGCTTATGCCTCTCCACAGGTGTTAGTCCTGCCCAGTTGATATCTTAAAGTGTCTTCAAAGGCATACAAAGTCTCAGAAGTCTTTCAGTATCTGCCCATTAGCAGAACTGTTGTACTTTGGCATTATAACCAAAAGGGAGTTTTGCTAGTGGTTATGGTGAGGTTAATTAATGCCATCAATATAAATATGCCATTATTCCACAGACTGCAACAGAACTGTACAGTACAACTAAAATGATGTCTTAACAAGATTCTGGACCATGCAAAATTGATTTGAATACCGTCCCGTCATCAGTCCTAACTCTAAACTCCCAATTACTGTAAGTGGGGACAGATTTAGCACCACTGCTGTTTGGAAGGACAAACCAGGTTTCAAACCTGGCTGAAAAACATAAGTTCTGCTCCCAATTAAGTCATCAGATCTTTTCTTTTCTTTTACAACAACAGATATGTAATGTATTGCTTTATTGAGCTAAATGGAGAAATTTGCCTTTCATTTGCCTCCATCCATAGAATTAGGTGTTAGGTCAATGCCAGCTCTGTTTGTTCTGTGTTCTTGCTCAAGGACACATCAGCAGGGAAGGTGTGTGATGCCTGTACAAGACCTTGAACCTTTCCTCCAAGCAGCAAAACAATTTATGGATGCACAAAGACATCTGTGAATTACTTTACAATATCTCATTCATATTACAGCAGAGAAAAGAGAGAGTACTTTATATCTTACAAAACCAAGAATAACCCTCCATCCCAGAGACTGTGACAGATCTGTTTCTGTGGTGTGAACAAGCCATTTTCAAGAATCAAACATTCAGAAATAGTCTCGTGCTCTTTTACGCAGGAGGGATGGGTTGAACTAGCTGTGCTGAAGCAGCAGATGGCACTATATACACGTGGAAACACTGTGAGTATGTTTCTCATCTGTAAAGATTTGTGTTTTGAGATGTTTTAAGTATCTGTTGTAAAGTGTTAGAAAAAGACAGCACTATGACACTTAAAATACACTGAATATCTGAGTCGAAAACTATCACTGATTTCAATATAGGCCCCATTATCATTATTGTAATTATAAAATGTTGATAGACAAGGTTACAAAGGTGATGATTGATAATCATAATAATAATTATTATTGTTACTTGTGTCTTCTGTCATGTGTGCAGCTCATCTCCCTCTAGCCATTGTCATACACTGCCCACCTCAAACCCTCATGCATATCAACACACTTGACATGTGTCATGCACACATACACACTATTTACAAACACACATCTATGACATTCAATGAAAAACACCCTAGTTTACTCTTCACATCACAGCAATTGTTTTCACCAGATGTCTGTTTATTTCTTCCTTTTCTATCTTCCTTCTCATATGTTTCCTGTTAAATTATTTGATGTCCCCACTTGAATTTCACACGTTTATATAAAGCGAGGGGGAAGGCTTTCAAAAACTGTCACTAACACTACATCTTTAACATAAACCACAACATTTACATGTGAAATATGACTCTTTAACTGTATAAACAGACCAACAGTGAAAGTGATTGTGTGCAGACAAAAAACTGCAACAAAGTTACACTTTCAGGTGTAACCAATCAGGCAGTATTTTAAATGAATACTAAATTATCAACATTTTATAAGATTCTGTATTCTGCCATTACAAATAATGTGAAACACACGCATACAGAAAGACTCTAAGACACACTTTGAACACAACACGTAGAGAGAAGACAGAGGAAATACGCTCTGCTTGGTTCTTGGTCCATGGGACGAGCTGTCAGTTGAGATCTGTGGGAACATCTCCATCACACTGCTCATAGGGACGAGGACGTGGGCGGTTAAGGCACCAAAGCGAGCCTATACTAGCCAAACCCTGTTTATCTTGGTGCTTATCCCAACCTGCTGGAGCCAGGCTGAGAGCGAGGGAGGGTAATCATTACGCTGCTTAAACGTCATAATATCCAGATTTAGTTCTTAAATCATCCAACATATATGAGGATGAGGGGGAATTCGAGCCCTCTTGGCCCATTTCCTGCTCTCGAGCACCTTCACTGGTGCTGATTTGAAGAGTTTCATTTTCACCACCTCACTCTGATTTTGAATAGATTGCTCTCATACTATAGGCCTGAAACATGGCATGTTAGTTCCACTTTATAATAATCATTGTGTCATGACAGTGTAGGAGACTCTTACAAGTGCTTTGACGATGAACATTTTCAGATACCAGAGCTCCAGTCCACTGGGACCCAAATGTATAAACAGTCAGAAATTATTGCTTCATTTTGTTTGTGACAGCAAAATTCTCAAGGGTGTCATTTTTATTAGTTCAGCACAAAGAAATTCTGCGTGGGGAGGACCGTTATGCATGTGAGAGACTGCAAGAGAATGTGTGTGTATGTGTGTGTGTGTAGGTCTGTAAATAAGCAAAGTGTGCCAGCTGTCTTAGTTCACAGTATCGAGTTATGATAGATCAAAGACAGATGAAATCAAGCTGCCTGCTGCACAGTGAAAGTAATATAAATGAGCTCCACTTACATTTTGCTTTTAAAACTGATCACACAAGACTTTATGGGAACTTTCTGAACCATGTGCAGTAAGGTTTCACGTTTTCTGTGTTTCAATGTTTTAAAACTAAGTTGAAAAGCTACACACATAAGTGTAACTTTAAATTGAGAAGAATCTTCACACATATCTCTTCACACTTTTATTTTTACACTGAGTTCTTCTTCACAGTCATAGTCATTTCTGGGCATATTAGTATTTCTGTATTTAGGTACTTGAAACTTAAGGTTTTTACAAGATTGCTGAAGTTTGAAAGGTGGAGACTATTTCCCCTGCAGAATAAATTAATTAATATCTATTTCTGGCAATCAAAGTGACTCATTCACTGCCAATAACAGACCACAGAACATGATCAAACCATTCATCTGCATGAAATTTAATGACAGAGGTCTCTGCAGCAAATGAAATATTATGGCCTGATAAATCCCTGCAAAACCATGAATGCATCCTTTCCCCTACATACCCAACCCACCATCATCCAGTGTCATTTAGGAGCTTCATCACTTGAGCAGACAGACGGTCAGAGTCTGGTCAAGTGACAAAAAACGGGAACATTTATTTCTTCATGGACTGAACATTTTGGTTGTGGAAACATTTCTTCCGCAGGCTGCTCTGCTGCCTGTTGCGTGTGCCCGTTTGCTACCGGAAGTTTAAAACCAAATCTAACCAGATTTTGTCGGGTTTTAAGTAGAACATTTCACCAGCAGGGCTCTTGTTATGCCTCATCATGTCTGAACATCCTTAGAGTTTCATTTCTTTAGTGAACAACTAACAATATTTACATCTCAAGTATCCACTGAGTAAGTTGAATGTTAATTTGTAATCTTGAGAAAAGCTGCTTTATCTAAATAAAGATATTTACAAAAATAAAATATCCAATATCTTTAGATTACGAGATGTGATTTCAAGACAAGTGGGTTGAAAATACAATGTGAGGAACCATGGCTGCTTCCAGCCCACACAGTAGAAAGCATAGCCTGTAGATTTCAATGTCTTGTTATAAATAGAGTGAAGTTTAGCTGGGGTTACTCTAAGGTTTTAAAATCTACAGAGATGCAGCAGGCAAATGATTGTTGTGCATCTATTTTTGCATGTGATAGTAAGCTGAGTTTTAATGGTTGAACAGTAGATTACAACTTAGAAGAATCTTTCTGATTTAATTCCATCAACAAGCAGCCCTCCACTGACCAAATTGTTTCTCATAATTTCCTTGACTAATAAATTGTTTTATTCAATTCCAGGATCTGCCAAATTGTCTCTCCACTATGAATGTGAATTCAGTCACGTTTTATGAGAAAAGCAGGTGTGTAAACATGACTGATACCAGAGATGTGACTGTAATGACCCCATTAGCCATCATTAGTCTACTAATTAACTAAGAGGGGGTAACGCTTCAATCAATCGGCCAACAAAACAAGCAGTCAGTCAGGTAATTATGTCTTAAAGGAAAAGCTAAAAATTGTTACGGATTAAACTGCCCAACAGTATAGAAAATAAGCGAAAATGGGCTTCACCTTAAAAACATGTATGCTACATGAATGCCCAAGTATTAATAATCCAGTATGTAACACTTAAATGGGCCATTTTTCTGCACTATGAGTGTTTATTTTTTAATACTTTACATTTAGCTGATAGTAGCTACTTATGTACCTTTGCTTTGAGTACATATACATATAGCATATATATAGCAGATAGCAAAGTCCCACCAGCAGTACCTCAAACTTAAACTACTTAAAGGGGCTATTTGTAAGTTTTTGCTATTGCATTGTAGCCATTGTTAGCATTAAAAGCTGTTTACTTACCAGTCTAGAAGAAACGTTGCCATTTCAGTATCATTCCTTTACTCCCCAAGCAACACCAATGTTAACTCTTGTTTTGCGTCTATTTCTATCACTTTTCTTCCTCTGAAGTTAGCATGCTAACCAGCTAGCTACTCATAACACCACTTTGTGTTAGTGAGTGGCTTAAGTCCAGTCTGCCCTAAATTTAGCATGAGAGGATGAGGCCACACTCATCAGCAAAGAAAATAGACATAAAGCACCATTAACATGTTATATCTCATTTAATTTGTACAAATATTGAAACGCAAACATGACCATTAACTGTTTTAAGACCTTCTATTTCTTGGCGGGAGCTAGAGCCTCCACTGGTTGCCTGGCAATTGCTCATAGCCAATAAATAGACTAGTCATTAAACCGTAACACCATTTGAGTTTTTTAATCTCGGTTTGAGCTTTTGTGGTGCTGGGAGGTGGATTCTTTAGCTTTATTTTTACCTGCTAGCTTAGCTTATAGACACAGCACTGTTGGCAGGAAAACAAATAGGCAAAGTGTATTTCCCAAAACTTTGAGCTATTCCTTTAAGTTAATCAATTTCAAAATTCAGTGTTCAACGGAAAACAAACGACCTAACCTATAATACTAATACCTGGCTGTAACATACAACGCAAACGACGGAGAAAATCCCCAAACAGAGTTCAAATGAAGTATATCATCGCTGTAAAGGGTAATTTGATGCCTCTGCGTGTGTCCTTAGGATCCCGGGCGGTTGTGTTGAGAGGAGGGAGGAGAGAGAGGCAGGCAGACACCGACCCACCGACCACAGGGGCAGCAGCAGCAGCAGCAGCAACAGTAACAGCAACAGCAGCATGACCAGGAACCTCCACGACAAACAGACCTGACCACTTTGACACTGCGCTCCGGTGGAAGCGACGCGACGAGACGAGACGCCACGTACAGTGTCCACGGCTGACACGCCAAATTTTTCACCGCTGAGGAAGACGATCCAGATCCAGAAACAGCAAGTGGGCTCCGTCTGCTTAAAACATTGATCAGGTCAGTCACCTTCCGCTCGGTTCACAGTTCGCTGCTCTGTGAGAGTCTATGTGGGTGCGTTTGATAAAGAGTGTGCGTGTGTGTGTGTGTGTGTGTGTGTGTGTGTGTGTGTGTGTGTGTGTGTGTGTATGTGTATGTGTATGTGTATGTGTGTGTGTGTGTTTGTGTTTGCGGCTGCTGGTCGGCTGGTAAAACACTAGAAACCACCTTTAAAAGTTTATTTAAGTCCGTCTAGACCGAGTCTGGTTTTTAAGGAATACACGGCTTTACAAAATCTGACACTAATATTAAATCATTTCTGTTGTTTTCAGCAAAAAATAAGCATCAATTGAACCCAAACACAAAAATTCAAATGGGAGTCTTCTTCAGTTGTCAAAATTTCCTCTTGTTTTAAGCTGCGGTGAAAGTCTGCCGGATGTAGCCTAATATATTGTTACGGTGGACACTTTTTGTAGTGAGACAGACTGCCAGTGGCGTATAGATGGGGGGTGGGGGGGGGCTGATGATGAGGGTGGGGGGTGCGGCCACAGGACTGACAACTGGCACACAGTCAGATGTTGGTCCATAGTGTGTCAGCAGACCACAGCGTGAGTGTGAGCTTGACATGCAAACACCAGGCAGAGATTTTAACCATCAAAGTGGTCACAACTTCTCAGGTGAGTCTAGGACACTGTTTGTGTGTCACTTTATTTTAATGTGTAACTTCATTAGATGGGTAGATTTGTATGAATAAACAATACTTTCTATGTATTGTATAAATTCCTCTTTCATGTCTTGTGAGGAATTTGTAAATGTTGCACAACGTTCAGGCAGGTCTGTGTTTTTGAATTGACTGGAAAATCTTGGTTGTGACTCAGCAGTATTGTGGACACACTCAGGGGCCAGTGCTGATTTATCGCAGAGGTTGCTGCTGGCCTAATGTTGTTTTATTGTGATTTAATAATGGCACTTGAAAGGAGAACTTATCAGTTTTTTGTACAAGGCTCAGACTGTCACTGCCAACAGTGACTGTGGTTGTTCACCCATCTGTGGTCGACCAGTCATTAATCAGTTTGTATGATCCTCATGTCAATAATCTGATAATACTGTGAGCAGATAGAGAAAACTTACAGTATTATTTTGGTATTTCTAAACAAAAATCTTTATGCATATTATGTACATACACACACACGCACACACACACACACATATGTATATATATATATATATATATATAGTAATTTAAGTTTTAAGATTTTTGCTCTAGAAGTTCAGAGGTCTAATAGGACAATTCAGACAAGTTTATTTTTAATTTTTTGAACACTTAAAGAATCATTGAGTGTTTTTGCCCTTGTTTGGGCCACCACTGAAAGTATTTTTCCTGAGATATATAAATACCTTACCACTACGCCTGCCTTTACTTTAGTCAGACTTTATTGTGGTGATGCAGCTCAAAGCGCAGACATAACTACATTATCACAGAATAATGAACCAATATGAAAAGTTCACTGCAATAGATTATCTGTTTCAGGCAAATTCAGTCTCAGCAGGTTTACTTTAATAGTGTATTCATCACTAAAACCAAATGCTGCTTTAAAGATGGGAATCAACCCACAGCGAATGGAAAATAGATGGCAGTTATGTAAAGTACAGGTTTTTGGTTATTAAATGAGCTAAAACCTGCCAAAGCATCTGTGTGGGTTTTCAGAGTCATGCTGTTATGTCTTCTTATTCTCAATGATGATAAAGTTGGTTAAAATCAACAGCTCTGTAGGCTAAAAAAAAAAAAGTAACATATATGTTTAAAACAAGATAAATATTTGACAGATGTGCCAAAAAGTCAGATGAACCATATAGGCAAGTAGTTGTATTTTACCAGAAGTACAGATGAAATCAAATATTTGTTCACATCTCCAGAAAGGTTGAATACTTAGAGCCTTTACAGATAATCCCATAATGATGAAGTAACATCAGGGATATAAGTCACTATCAGGTCTGATTCTATAATTTCTGTTGTAATCTATTGGAATGAAATCATAGACGCTTAGTTCATTGAAGGTTAAAATGTCATTACTGTTGTAACATGGCTATTTTAAAGTAGCAGAACTTATGATGAATTTGTGGTTGAGAAATAATCTGTTTTGAATATGTCATAAAAGGTCATCTAACAGTGCTCATGCATGTGGATTAAGGTCATCTATCCCCTCCACATTTCAGTGCGATAATGTGATTAACTGTCATTTGGTTGGGATATGTCAATAGGGCATAATTGTTTGATATATTTGTGTTTTTCGAGCATCCAGCGCTGTTTGAGAGTTGGATCTTTTTATGCTGTAGTACACAAGTACACAAATGGATTAAAATCTCAGGAAATTTAAATCAGTCACAGGAAAACACATAACGTTAATAAAATCATCCTGTCATCTCTCCATGAGCTGCGTAAAGTCTGACTGAGTGTGTTGATACAGCACCAGTCAGTGAGTTATTGCTTATCAAGTTATATAATTCCTAAAGAGAGGTGTGTGTGTGTGTGTGTGTGTGACTGGGACAGATTCGGACTTTGTTCTGTTGTCATAAATGAAAGGAGTGTCTCAAGATAGCATGCTATGTTTATGTTGTCGCTCACACTGCCTGAAAGTCATGTTTAACTCTCTGTAGACAACATACCTTACCACAAAGCTTTATTTGAGTTGGTGTAAAGACGTAGTTGGTGTTTTTAAAGAAACCTCTGCACCAGGATTCGCCTTGGTTTTTGAAGATCTGTGTTGATCTAAAACACCAGAAGGAGCAGTTGTCAGTCTTTTAAGCGTGTGTTTGCATGTGGCTATAAAAAGTTATATATAAAAGCTCTGTAAGAGCAAAATATAATCAATGCATGAAAGGAAGGAAAATGTTCAACTGTGCATCAGTATCAGTGTGAATATACAGATTAAAAGAGTGACACGCTCCAGTTCAGCCCACAAATAGCTAACCACTATTGCCTCTACACCACTGACATCCTGCTTTGTTTACCATAATTCAGCTTTTCATATTGTTATTGTTTAACGTTTTTCAAAAAGCCCACCTTTGATTTGGTTTTATCAGATGACACTGATGTAGTTTAGCCTTTAGGTTATCAGTTTGTTTTTTAAATTAGGTGTAATTATTAACTTCAAGGCCAATCATTTCACAATTTACTGTCTTGCAGCTTTTTTCGCGGAAGAGTTGGATTTCTGCAAAGAAAGATGGCTCCCACTCAGGGTGATGCAGATGACAAATTCAGCTCCACTAGTTAATCTTTTATGTGTCTATGGCACTCTGTTAAACCACAATGTCCTTGTTTTTTAATGTACAACAATGAGGATCAGGATTTTGCAGAGCATTATATTTTCAGCAGGATCTTTTCAATGTGATTATTTTTTGCAATATTGTAGAGTTAGATCTCACATCTAGTGATTGTACAGTGGCTCGATAAGAAGGAGTTGGACAAAGTGATCTAATTCCAATTTTTAGCAGTTTTCTAGGCAAACAAGTTTAAATTAGTTTGATTCAAAAGTTGATTGAGCAGGGGCACACAAGTCCTTACTGCAGGGGCCCGGACTCGAATCTGGCCTGAGCCCTTTGCTGTATGTCATTCCCTCTCCCATTCTCTCTCTCTCTCTCTCTCTGTCACTCTCTCTCTCTCCTCTCTCTCTCTCTCTCTCTCTCCTTTCCTGTCTCTTTCCACCAACCACCCATTAAAAGATAAAAATGCCACAAAAAATTGTCAAAAATGAGTATGCTACATGTATTTAGTGGTTTTGTTTTTCCTCTTTTTGTTTTACTGCCAACAGACTCCACATAACATTTTACTATTAAATCAGTTGTCAGTTACAACTGTTCACATTTTCTCTCTCAACACTCGAAATAAGCCTAATATTTACAATTTATTTTATTAATTTATTTTAGTTGCATATAAGATTTCCATCCATATTAATTACACAGTTTTAATATAAACCAACTAATAAACTTAATGTGATGCACATTTGTCAGTCAAACATAATTGAAACAAGTAAGAATGAGATTTATGTAATCGTACTAATAAATCGAACGTGTTTTAAACACACAGTAACCATGTTTATATTGCTCAAACCTGGTTATTATTAAGCATCCAAATGGATGGAAATCTTATAAGCAATAAAAAAATTCTAAAGGCTAGATATTTCTTTCAGTGAACAATGAAGGTGTTGTGAAGAGAAAACGCTTCAATCACAACAACACCGGCCAGAAGGTTGCAGTGCAACATGAAAGCAAGTTTTCAGTTCTCACCTCTTTACACTTTGTATTAAAAACAGCCTCTGTCTGGATGAGAGAACATGTTTTAATGTAATGTAAACATCATGACTCTCAGTTTCACACTTTATTGATTAAATTTGAAAACACATTTTTCTGCCATTACCTCCCATTCACACTTATTTTAAGTGGCATTTTTGCCCGTGTAACGAGACATTGTGTCATGATTGGGTTCTGTGCAGAAATATTGTTAAGAGGCCAGTTTTCTGTTGCCGTCTTTATTGGTAAAGAAGTTATAGCAACAAAAGTAAAATCTTGTTTCTAGTATAGCACCCTAACTCATTTCCACCTCCCCTTACAAGTAGCTTGCTTTGGCGTTTTGTAAAATGGACTGCAAATAATGATTATTTTCATCATTGATTAACCTGCTAATAATGTTTTTGATTCATCAGTAAATCACTTGGTGTATAAATGGATTATAATTAGTGCAAAAAGCTTGTTGCAATTTTTTTAAAGACAAATGTGATGTCATCAAATTGAGAAGCTGGAACTAGTGCAATTTTTACATTTTTAATTGAAAATTGAGAAACATTTTATTGTTATTAATTTTCTCTCAATCAACTTACTATCTAAATGTTTAAGCTCTAAAAGCACACAGTGCACAATACCGTGAAAGAATCCTGTCATTTCAGCGACTATTCTGCTTTATGGGTGCATCCACCCAAACAATTTCACAAATACACCAATAAGAAGAATTTTCTTGCCAATGCACTTTAACATAGATATTAGTCAACAGACAGCAGGGATGTCCAGCAACCTTTGTCCTAATTTTCCTTTTAGAAAGATGTGGGAGCAAACAGCAGCTCCTCAGGTCAAAACGTTTGTCTCAGGAGGGAACTTAGGACTGACTCAGACTTGGTATGCACTGGATGTGGCACAGCTTGAGACATCACCAGTTCAAGTCCTGCTGGACATGATGTATGATGAATGTAATCCACCCCCTCAATTTAAAATTGGCTAATAATGGTTAAATGCCAAATGATTGTGGTAATGAAACAGGAACAAAGACTTTTAACAGCTTTCCCTGTCTGATAACCTTTTTTTTTACATCTTCTCACAGTTCCAGTTGAATTTGTCCTTGTCATGAATTCTTTGATGAATGTGTTCTGTCACTTGTAAGTCGCTTTGGATAAAAGCGTCTGCTGAATGAGGAAATGTGACTAAATTTACTGCTTGTGAAGCTGCACTACCATGATTATTGTTATTATTGATATGCTTGTCAATTGTTCCATTCTAGCATGGCAGATATGCAGTTTACAATGATAGTGGGGCAGATTTACCTCTTGAGGCTTATAACAACCAGGGCCTTGATATCAGTGTAGACAAAGTCAGGCTTATCATTTACGGCATTGTTTTCAGGCTATGG